TGTACTGCTGTGAAGACAGAAATAAAAGGCATGTAAATAGATTTCTGTCTGTTTCTTTCCCCTCCCTGAGGGAAGCAGGGAGGAGGGGGAATTGGTGTGTCTCCCTCACGCTGAGTGGGATCGCCGATAGAAGATCTCGCCTGATCTTGCCGGGAGTCGCAGACCGGGGAGGTCAACAAGGAATTAAGCCGGGTGCCTGGAGAGGGGCCAATTCCTCTGATAAGGCTTAATTCTAATTGTCAGGGGGACAAGCTGCCAACAAAAAGTGTGGGTTTTGTGGTCAAGTCTGTGTCTGCAGTTTGGAGAAGAGTCAGAGTTATGGAAGGGAGACTGTGAGGGGAGAGACTTCATCAGGCAAGGCCTCCTTCCACCCACCTTGCCCCACCCTCCAGTCTCTGCTTCTCAATTTGTATTGTATTATTTTATGCACTGTGACTTGCCGTTGTTTTACTGATTATAGTTTAGAAACTATTATAACTGTTAAGAGTGGATTTCTGTTTAATTTTTATATGCTGATATTTAATATTATTCAATAGTATTCTAATGGATTGTTGAATATTATTTGATATGATATACCGTATTTTTCGCTCCATAAGGCGCACCTGACCATAAGGCGCACCTACTTGGGGGGGGGGGAGGAATGCAAGAAAAAATATATGCGGCTCTTGGGGGCTTTTGCGGGAGTGGGGGAAGTGAGAGAGCCTCGTTCTGTCCCTTCCCCCACCTCCTGCAAAAGCCAGGGATAGCCGTGCGAAGCCTCCCCAGGGCAGCGGGATGAAGGCTCCCCGCTGCCCCCCGGGGCTGGCGGTGGGGGAAGTGCGCCTTTCCCCCACCGCCAGCCCCACAAGCTCAGGGAGCAGCCTTTCCGCTGCTCCCTGACGTGCTCTTTGGGGAAAGCCACCGCCAGCCCCAAAGAACAGGTTGGGGAGCAGTGGAAAGGCTGCCTGCAGCCTTCCCGCTGCTCCCAGAGCTTGTCGGGACTGGCGAGGGAAGCCCGGGTCCCCCCCCCCCAGCCCCAGGGACCACACATTCACTCCATAAGATGCACAGACATTTCCTCTTAGATTTTAAGAGTGAAAAAGTGTGTCTTATGGAGCGAAAAATACGGTAAGTTGCTTATTTTAAAGTTACGTTTTATTATCACATTTTTGTATTGGATTAGATTGTTATAAGGTGTACATTCTTTGTTTCTCCAGCTTGCAAACCGCCTTGGGTATTGTAAGATAGAAAGGCGGTGTACAAATTAAAAGTGAAAAAAACTGGAACCCATTTCCATGTTGCTCACAGGAAGCAGCAGCAGCATGTTGTGACTATTATGGTGCCTCTGCTACACCAGAGGGCCTCCTGAGCCAGCTGATAGTGTTTCCATGGAGATCTGCCACAGCATATTAACTGCCTTTTGCTGGCAAGGAAGGTGCCAACGTGAAGGAGAGGACAGAGGAATCGCACGTATCCTGTATTCAAGGAGTAGCAGTGACTGCTCTGCACACATCACAGGCAGTAAATAAAGACAATGCAGAGAGTGGAGGCCTCTTGCAGCCCTGGAGAAACAGTGCCAGCTGGATCCACGAGTAAATTCTGAATCCTTTGTGCTGTTCCAGCTAAGCAAAACAACTCTAAGCCCCGCTTATTCAACACAAAAGCAGTTTACAGCTGCTTAGCAGCACTGGAGTGGCAAACAGAAGCACCCAAAACGTTCTGCTAAACCTATTATTTTGGCTCGTTGTTTTCTGAGCCTGCTTTCCACAGACCCTGTTGTCGCTTTGCCTTCCTCTCGTGTTCAAACAAAAATTAAAAGGCTACCTTTCAAAGAGCACGAAGGTACCGGTTTTGCATCAAGTAAATACCCTAAGATTTTTTTTATATAAAAAAACCTTCCACAGAATCTGAAAGAAAAATGCACTCGCATCCATACTGTTTTTTAATGCAGACAGCAATCTTCCTGTACCTCCCATTAATTCTCCATTGCACATATGACGTTCTCCTCCAAATCACAGCCTTCCCACTCGTCCCCCTCCCTCAATCCTGATTTTCTCATAGCAGGGATATTCCGAAATGGAGAGGGAATGATAAAATCCAGAGGCAGTTCTTTTAGACATTCTGGTCTCCCAACACATTTAGTCTCACATGGAGAGGAATTTCAAGATCAGGCTTGAAATGTGGTCTTGCTGGCTGACAAGGCTTTCACATGGTGGCAGCAAGAGATAACAGGCAGAGCCAGCCCACTCGTGAGGCAGGGGAAGGAAGCTGCCTCAGGTGGCAGAAGCCCAAGGGGCAGCACCTACGCAGGCACCCTGCCACCTCCACCACCAATGGAGATGTGGCGCCAGCAACAGTGCTGGCTTCCAGTGAAATTTCGCCAAAATATTCTGAGATCTCGCGAAACTCGCATGAGACTCTGCCGGAGCCTACCATTGCTGCTGTGCAACCCAGGTAAGGGAGGCTGAGGCAGGATGCCATGCCTCCCTTGAATAAATGCCATCCTTATGTGAAATTGATGAGGTACAGTCACTGTCTAAGGATGCAATCAGTACCCATGCCTCTTGGATAACGTTAGAATTGGGCTTCCGGTCCATCCTGCCTTAATGGAGGCAGCCCCCATGACAGTGGGGGATCATCGGCGAATGAAAAACAAGGATGGCAGAGGGCAAATCATCATTGCAAATTCCCCCCAGGGACGGGGGGAATGGGCTTCACTCACAGTTCATCTCGGTACTTGGCTCTCGCTCCGGCATGGAATGCAGGAGGCAGGAAGGCGCTAAGTTCAAAAGTAATTTGCCTGGCGAAAACTCTCCTACGCCATCATTACTAAGCAGAGGTTCTCTGTTTAATTGGATTTTTAATTGACTTTAAAGTACCAGCGTGTGATGCAAAAGGGCTGCAACAACATACTGTGGAACATATCAGCTACATGGATCAAAGGTTTGAATTGAGATATTTTTTTCAGTGTCAGAGCCGGTTGGGGAGAGGGAAGCACACAGTTTGTTTATTCTAAGTTTCTTTTATATATTTATGATTCAGCAACCCTCCCCAGAATGCAAGACAAAAAGGTATTTACAAGTGAGGAAGGGATGTTGGAGTAATATTGATATTAACAAGCAAAGATGGAAACTATGTGTGATCTGAAATGAAGAAAGGAGGGTGAGGGGAAGCTCAAGTATGACTGTGTTGGAAAGACAGTAATTCCCCTCACCTCTGCTTAAAAACAACAGACTGAGATTTGTTTGCGTTACTGATGGAATGTAATCTAAAACATAGTTTAATTGGGCCATAAATCTCTAGCTGGAAGGAAAAGAATCTGGGGGCTGTGATAAGAATGCTGCAGAGATTCTGAGTGCTGGAAAGGAATATTAAATCTTCAGCGGGTTCAAAAACTGCCCACCTTTTCCTAGGCTGAGGGGTAAATAGCGAAGATCTGTGACATGTTTTACTAGTGGGACAGAATGGCTTCTACCAGACTGTCTCTTGTTCTGAGACATCAAAGCAAGGAATGGAGAGATAAGACCTCTGAGAAACTTCAAGATTCAGTTCCGCCTGAAGTCACAATGGGAGAGAACAACAGCTGGGAAGTAACAGAGACGACACCATATATGGACAGAAGGAATATCCATGGACATAAGAGTTTTCACACGCAGGGCAGAAAAAAGATAAAAGTCTTGAGTTCCTCACCTGAAGCTTTATAAATTTATATATTATAACAACATGAATGGAATCATTAATTATGTAGCTGCTGACTAAAGGATTCTTATTATTACTGAAATGCAACTGACATTAATTAAGATTATGGAACACAGTGATATATGATCAGAAATGCACCCAAACCACCATGCGGGAACCACTTTAACTAAAATGTATTAACTGGAAGACAATCGGCACTTTGATAATTGTATACCGTATTTTTTGCACCATAACACTCACTTTTTTCCTCCTAAAAAGTAAGGGGAAATGTCTGTGAGTGTTATGGAGGGAATGCCTACGGGTGGCATGCCTACGGATTTTCCTCCTCTAAAAACTACGTGCGTGTTATGGTCGGGTGCGTGTTATAGAGCGAAAAATACGGTAATTTGGGAATTGTTATTCTTATAATTTGGCTATTATTGGGGGTATATTGGAAAACTAATAAAAAGTGTTTTTTAAAAAAAGATAACATAAGAATTGGACCTAGCAGATAAGATGGCCAGCTCTTGACCCAGAGACAGCAAGTTTTGTTTTATCAGCTTCATGCTATTTTTATATGCATTACTTCTATAGTTCATTTTATCCTTCAAACCATCCTGCCCCCTGCCACTGCTCCTTGTAGCAAGCGGGGCTCCTGTTCTGCTGCACAGATTGTGGAGAAAGGAAGTTGGCAGAATGGGCTGCTGGAGGAGAGGCTTGTCTCCTGAATAGCATCTTGATTTCCCCAAGCTATTAAAACAATAGACAAAGTTGCCAGGCCAAACTCTGGCAGCCACACTAAGGGAGAACCATAAACTTTGCGAGTTGATGAAAAGATCTGCAATGTAACTACAACTGCTGAAAGTTTTTTTTTTATAAATAAAATAAAAAATACTACCCCAAATGCAAACCCAGAACCATGGGGAAAGGTTTTTCTTTTCCACTTCCATTTGAAAGAAGTACATGGTAGAATTCCCAGTTATAAGGACAATACAGATTGGTGGTACCTGGAATACATTATTTCAGCACAATATTTAGAAAAGCTAGAATTTAGATTTGGTAGATATAGCAGCATCCAAATAAGGGAGATGACAGCTGGAGATTTAAAAACACAATACGTATCAACACCCACAGTGAACTTTAAGGTATATGCAGAAGAACTTTTAAAAAATGGATGATTGCAATATAACGCCTTGAAATAAACATGTTTCATTGCAAAGAGGAAGTGCATTAGTTTGCAGAGTAACGTGGATTCTCAATGTAGGTTTTGGAGCTGTGTGGAACAGCAGGCCCCTTGATGGAACAACAAAGAGAAGTAACTGAGCGCCTCCCCATTGCCATACCTTTCCTCCACGGAAACCTCCTTCAGCTGCTGGTGCGGTTTTGTGCCCTCCATCTCTCGGATGCTCACAGCGTAGATCTTCGTGGTGTAGTCAATCGCTTTTTCTCTTGCAACGTCACTGTCATAACCTTTGATGGATGCAAAATGGAACGCGACACTTGTTTAGGTGCTTGCAATATCGCAGCATAGAAATTAACATGCATGTGGTTCATTAAGCACAAAGCATGCTTCCTCATCATCTAAGGAAAAACAAAACAAAAAACAGGGTGCCCATGGCCAGTGCCATGACAGTTTAAAACTTGTAAATATTAGGGTGGTCCAAGGTGTTAGAATTCCTGCTCCATGATTGCAGTCATGGGATTTTTGTCTTTCACATGACAGTATATGTTTTGACTCCACAGAGTGGGAAGTGATGGAGACAGGATGTTTGTGTTACTGTGTTCCGTGGGGACTATTGTCCTTTGTTTTTCTCTCTCTTTGCTGTCTGATGCTAGAGAGAGAGGGAGCCATGTTGCAGCGCTCCGTGTGGGTTTATATGTAAATAAAGTAGATTAGCCAAAATGCTGAGTTGCTGAGGTCTGTTATGCAACTGCAAAGACTCTGCGGATCCTTAAGTGTGCCGATGTCTGTTGGCATCGGTTGCTGTGATGTTCAGGCTGAATAAAGCTTTTGAAGCTCCTGAACGATCGACCAGGAGGGAGGGAACATGCCAGTTGGGAATGTGTTTCTGCCAGGGTCCTACTCGAGTGTAGGCTGAACTCCTGACACAAGGTCCTCTCTGATTAACTTATTTAGCAAACTTGGTAATACAGCACTGACTGATCATCTTCTTCTTGTCTCTTGCCCATTTACACACAACCCAGGATGAGTTGGGACAATTCTGGGCTGCGCCATTTTAGAATACAGGGCTGGGCCAACATAGCTTTAAATGCTGCTCCAAATTGGGGGGGGGGGACCTTCCTGCAAGTAGTAAACTAGCAGAAAGGTGACACACAGCCCTCGTCCTGATATGCTAGCTTATTACACAAAGAGGTTTTTATTTTCACGGGGAAGCATTCAAAAATATGGCATCTCGTTGCTCACCTAAGAAGGCCCAGTTTATATGCCACCTTCTCCTCTTCCTGCATAATGTGTGGAATGACTCTTAAGTGAACAAAAACCCCATAAATCTGGTCTCAACTGCTCCTGTATGGATGCATGGCGTGAAGTTTGGAAGTGTAACAAATAAAAAAACATAGGCAACGTTACCTCCATCCTCTTCGGCATCCGTGTCCGACTCCTCGCTGTCCACTAGTTTGCTTTCTTGGGTGCCTACAAATTCTCGAGTCCAGATCATCAGAGCAGTGTCAGCTCCTCCCACCGTCAGAAGCACAGAGTCATTGTGTAACCAGCGGGCATTAGTCACATGGGCGCTGTGCCCCACGTACTTCTTGAACTTAGCGTGCTGACCCTGCAAGAAACCAAGAGGATTCCTTCTGCTTATTTCCCATCTTCCCTTAAAACACACGATGCCTCCATTTGCCAGCGTGCTTTTGGAACATGTATAAAGAGTTCAAAACCTGAGCTGTATTGTACATTACCTTGACTGGGTATCTGAAGAGCTTTACGAACCCAAAATCATCCCCTGTAGCTAAGAGCGTGCGATCTTTGGTGAGAGAAGCCGCGTTGATAACAGTGACGTCGCTGTGCATTGGCCAAATCCCTTCGCAGGTAGGACCAAGGACACATGTCCACGTGTCCCACTCGATCTTCTCAATCTGAAAAGATATATATATATATGGAATCCATAAATGTAAGAGCAGCTCACATCCTCTAGGGAATTGATTCTTGCAGCATACACTTTTACAGAGTGGGTGAATTGTTCCTCCAGCTGCTCATTTTGTTCCAAAGATGTAGTGCAGTTAAATGTGCCTCAAATAAAGGGCAGTGATTGCAGCAGGCTCATTAAAAACACAAAATCACTGTGTGCTGTTCCATGCAACCCTATTTTTAAAACTTGAACTACTAAGCTCACTTCCGGATTTCTTTTCTTTTCTTTTTTTAAAAAATGTCTTGCAAGAAACCCAAAGATTCCTTATTTCAAAGCAGAACCAAAGGTTAAAAATACATGATATGGGAGATGGAAGAAGGAACCAGACGTTGCAGGTGCTTCCAGGCTATTTTCTGATGGGATTCCAATTCACAATGCGGGATTGTTGATTTGGAGCTCTTGCGCAACAAACCCACTTCCTCTCCAAACTGGGCTTTTTGCGATCAGGAAACTGATGGGGAAATGCCCTGGAAAGTGTGGGATGATAATTGCTTGATACAGCATTGTCTAAGCTCCCCACAAACAAATTGGAATGATACTCAATAAATAGTCAATCTCATCTAACCTCTCTACCAATTTTGGGCAAACCAATCACAATGAATGTCATACAAATATTATAACAACAGCAGCAACAGAAGCAACAACTATTATTATTATATTATTATTTTTAAACAGGTTGTCTGAAAGTGCACACCCATATGAGCCTATTGAGAAATATTTCCCACTGAGTGAAGTCAGACTTACTCTCAAGTAAACAAAGAATCAGCAAAATAATTCAGAGAAATACAATTGGGAGAGGGGTCATTTCACATTGCATTACTGGATCAAGTTCACCAAGAAATTTCTCATTGCATTACTGGATCAAGTTCACCAAGTTTTGTTTGAATCACTGTTTCTCCCTAGGCATTTCCTCAAAAATATTTTGATTTCTAAAGTATTTCTCACAATATACACATTTCAAAAGTTATACCTTCCCCCACCCCCCACCCCAAAATACAAATTTGGGTATGTTTTTGGGACAAGAACTGCACTGTAAAATCCAGAGAAGTGTGAAACCTGAAGGATAGTTGTGTTCCTTTCATTTCATACATTAGTCTAGGTTTTGCAGATCCAGTCAGTTCACAAGAAAACTGGCAAAAACCAAATTCAGGTGGCACTGCTGGGAGTTGTAGTCAAAACCTTCTGGAGGCTAGTACAGTATAAGACAGCTCAGAGGACCAGGCTGATCACAAACTAGCTTTGGCGAAGACAAATAGGAAACTCTGCAAACCAAGCTGTACACTATGCTCTTATTCTATTGGAGAGCAAGCAAACAACAACAACAATATATAAAACTTTGAAAGTTCAATTCATGACATATTCCACCATCCCTTTCATTCCTACCTCGGTGGATCTTATAACATGCCTCTTTCCTCTCGGAGCTTCAAAAAAGAATTGTTCTTTGGCACCAGAATTGACTTGCAATAGCTTCCCTTGATCAAAAAGAAAGAGGATATTATGACAAGGCTCTCTCACTATTAAATTAAGATATGGTTTGACAAAGAAGGGTAAATTCCCTTTATGGTTTGTTGTGACAAAGAACTAAAACCTAGTTATTCAGCACTTACAAAAATAACTGTAGTCTTCATCAAGGGAGAAATTACCTCTGGATTCCACTAACAGCGAGGACAGGTGTAAGATTTTAGAAGAGTGGAGAGGCCCAGAAAGCTTTCTCAAAGCATTCCATCTAAATATACCATTCGTCTTCAGAGTAGAACTTTGGGGAGAAACTGTCCTACAAGTCTGTAGTGGAAGTCAAGTGTACGAGATGATGATTGGCTGCCCTGCTGTGAGGTCACCAAAAAACCTCCGCCCACATTCCGACAGCAGTTCTGCATTAACTTTTCCACTGACATCACTAGCTGAATTGTGCCCAGTTTATATAACACACGCTCTGAGTCTGTAGGTGGTGTTAATTGGCCAAGGAAAGCTTGCATTGATGAATAATAATGACGAATAATGATTTGGCTGCTTAAAATGGAGATCTGAAGTAACCGTTTCACCTCCCTCATCGGAAGTGTTTTACCCAATAGACATATTTTTGTTTGTTTTAAATGTTATTTTAGGCCCTGGTGTCAAAATGCACTTGGCTCATGTTGAAATATGTAATATAATGTTGAGGTTGTCTGGATATTTTGATTTCCAGGAGACACATGTTTTGTAGCACGTCGAAAAGAACTATGAAATCTGTTTCACTGGAGACCAGGCTAGGACACATATTCAAGGTTTTTTACCTCTTGAATCCCAGTCAATGTGCGTGACGTAGCTCGATGCCCCTTTGCAGATGCCAACTCTTTTGCTGGTAAGCACATTGTAAATATCTACAAAATTATCATGGGAAGCCACTGCCAGGTATTTCCCTGCATCTGTAAAAGAAAGAATATTCAAGTAAATTATGGCATGGTATTCACTGTGGTTTTCTTTTTATTTCCATCGCAGAAGCATGGGGGAATGTTGCTGAGTTATAAAACACAGTGGCACCTTGGTTCTCGAAAAACTTAATTGCCGAACAGATCGGCTCCTGAATCCCGCAAACCCGGAAGTGTTCTGGTTTGCAAACATTTTTCGGAAGCTGAACATCTGATGCAGGTTCTGCTTGAGTGCAGGGAGCTCCTGCAGCCAATCAGAAGCCGCGCCTTGGTTGTCAAACGGTTTCAGGAGTTGAATGGACTCCCGGAATGGATTAAGTTCGATAACCAAGATAGCACTGTAATGGTACAGTAGCAAGCAAAAGGAAAGAACGTGGTAAAGGTAATGCAGTGCTACTCTGTTTTCATTTTGTATTTTTATGCTGCAAACCACCCTGCGATCTTTGGATGAAGGGCGGTATACAAATGTAATAACTTGTAATAATAATAATTTATTATTTATACCCCGCCCATCTGGCTGGGTCTCCTCAGCCACTCTGGGCGGCTTCCAGCTGAATATTAAAAACAATACAGCATCAGACATTAAAAGCTTCCCTAAACAGGGCTGCCATCAGATTATTTCTAAAAGTCTGGTAGTTGTTGTTCTCTTTGACATCTGATGGGAGAGCGTTCCACAGGGCGGGTGCCACTACTGAGAAGGCCCTCTGCCTGGTTCCCTGTAACCTCACTGCTTGCAGCAAGGGAACCTCCAGAAGGCCCTCGGCGCTGGACCTCAGTGTCCAGGCTGGATGATGGGGGTGGAGACGCTCCTTTGGGTATACAGGACCGAGGCCGTTTAGGGCTTTTTAAATATTAATAATTCATATACCCCTCCCACCCACAGCACCGGAGTCTTTCACGTGCAAGTTTCACTTCATGCTGACAGCAGTTTCCTTGCAACATTATGCCTGTGCATGTTTTATTACAAGGAAACGTGACAGTTGGGAGGAACTGAGATGTCCCCCATCACTAGAAACAGCAGAGAAAACATCAGGGACAATGAAGCACAGAGAGGAAGAGTTAACTGCTGGAGAGGTCTGAGAAATAGGATGTGGCCTGTGGTCTACCTGCTGGAGGAACTAGTAGGACCTGCAATAAAATGTTGCAGCATGGAGTGTTCCGTTCAGGGTCCCAGCCAGTCATGCCCTTTTCTAATACATTCCGTTCTGTTCACTGCCTCCAATCAGTCAGTGTTCTGTGTCAGTTCTCATTAAGATTCTTTCCCTAAAGATTATTTGCATTTCTGCAAATCTTTGGGTTCCCCAAAGTCTGCTGCTACCTCTCTCTTGAACAAGGATGGTGCAGTTTTCAATTTTTCCAAATTTTCATAGAAACCCAAAGAGAAAAATAATTGACTAAACTCGGTATTTTGTAACACTGCATAGTAAAAGCCTTTCATTAAGAAGTTATTTCTTCTGCACCTCGGGAAAATTTGATGTCAGAGATCATTTCCTTTCTGTGATGGAAGGAAAGCATATCTTCTACGGTATCAGCATTCACTACCAGAAAACTCCCGTCGTTCAAGCCGACAGCCAAGGCTTTCCCATCGGGGGAGAAGGCACAGCACCGTCCTCCTGGAAAAAGACATTTAGAGAGAATTTCTGCAATTAATCCAGAATGCGGCAGCTAGACTGATGACTGGGAGTGGCCGCCGGGACCACATAACACCGTTTCTGAGAGATCTGCATTGGCTCCCAGTACGTTTCCGAGCACAATTCAAAGTGTTGGTGCTGACCTTTAAAGCCCTAAACGGCCTCGGTCCAGTATACCTGAAGGAGCGTCTCCACCCCCATCGTTCAGCCCGGACACTGAGATCCAGCGCCGAGGGCCTTCTGGCGGTTCCCTCATTGTGAGAAGTAAGGTTACAGGGAACCAGGCAGAGGGCCTTCTCGGTAGTGGCGCCTGCCCTGTGGAACGCCCTCCCAGCAGATGTCAAAGCAATAAACAACTATTTTACTTTTAAAAGTCATCTGAAGGCAGCCTTCTTTAGGGAAGTTTTTAATGTTTGATGCTGTACTGTTTTTAATATTCAGTTGGAAGCCGCCCAGAGTGGCTGGGGAAACCCAGCCAGATGGGCGGGGTATAACTAATAAATTATTATTATTATTATTATTATTATTATTATTATTATTATTATTATTTAGGGCTTCGATGCCGAGGAAGGCAGCAGTCAATGCAGAATAATCAGCATCCTAGAATTAGCCAGTGTCTTAGGGGAAGGGCTGCAGCTTGGTGGGATAGCATTTGCTTTCCATGCAAAAGGTCAATCCCTGACAACTCTAGGTAGGGCTGCCTGAAAACCTGGAGAGCTGCTGCCAGTCAGTTTAGACAACACTGCACTAGATGGACCAAAAGTCTGACACAGTATCGGAAAGTTTCCTGTATCTCTAATAACTATGCATGTTGTTGTTGGCATGCATGTGACTTGAGAGACAATGGAGTGCACCACCAGGGTTGAAATCAAACCGCTGCGCTAGCAGCACTGAAGTGACCACCTCGGGGTGCAAGCCTGGGCAGTATGTATGGAGGTCCTGGGGTGCCCAGACAACAAGATATCCTGCTCAGCCTCGCTGATGTGGTCCAAAGGAAAGCAGAGCCATATGCTTTGAACCAGCTTGGCTGCAGGAGTTTCTGGAATCATCATCATCATCATCATCATCATCATCATCTATTATTTATACCCTGCCCATCTGGCTGAGTTTCCCCAGCCACTCTGGGTGGCTCCCAATTGAGTGTTAAAAACAATACAGTATTAAATATTAAAAACTTCCCTAAACAGGGCTGCCTTCAGCTGTCTTTTAAAAGTAAGATAATTGCTTATTGCCTTGACATCTGATGGGAGGGTGTTCCACAGGGTGGGCGCCACTACCGAGAAGGCCCTCTGCCTGGTTCCCTGTAACCTCACTTCTCACAATGAGGGAACCACCAGAAGGCCCTCGGCGCTGGATCTCAGTGTCCGGGTTTAATGATGGGGGTGGAGACGTTCCTTCAGGTATACAGGACCGAGGCCGTTTAGGGCTTTAAAGGTCAGCACCAACCCTTTGAATTGTGCTTGGAAATGTATGAGGCACCATCCAACCATTTTAGGGACTCCACTCTGAATATGTTTTAAGGTTTTCTCTCAAATACAAGCCACAAGACAGTGGAAGTCTAGGATCAGAGTTTCCCTTCTCTTAGATGAGCTACCTTCCCAGGTTAATGAGCTCCATCTGCCTCTCACTTCCCTCTAGAGCATGTGCAGAAACTGCTCTCTTGACCACTTGACCTTAGAATTCCTGATCTATGATTGCAGTCATGGGATTTTTGTCTTTCTCATGATGGTATATGTTTTGACTCCACAGAGTGGGAAGTGACGAAGACAGGATGTTTGTGTTACTGTGTTCTGTGAAGTGGGACTATTGTCCTTTGTGCTTTCTCTCTTTGCTGTCTGATGCTAGAGAGAGAGGGAGCCATGTTGCAGTGCTCCTTGTGTGTTTATATGTAAATAAAGTAGATTAGCCAAAATGCTGAGTTCTGTCACGCGAAATGCGCAAACTCTGGGGATCCCTAAGTGTGCCGGTGTTGGCAGAAGTCGCTGTGATGTTCAGGATGAAGAAAGCTTTTGAAGCTCCCGAATGATTGACCAGGAGGGAGAGAACATGCTAGTTGGGCATGTGTGTCTACCAGGGTCCTACTCGAGTGTAAGCTGAACTCCTGACAGGACCCACTCTTGGTCTTGTCTGCTCAATCCGCCAGAGTCTGCCCCTAACTCACAGAAGGTTTGAGACCCATCAGCTAAACCCTCACCTGGTTTAGCCAGTCAGTCGAAGCCGTTCGCGGGGTGTGGCCGCTGTCACACGCTGACAGCTTCTAGGAGTCACAGGTGAGAGCTGAGTGCAGGGTGGCAACCAAACGTGGACAAACTACCCAGAAATTTTAACCGCAGGTTAAGTACTTAATTCGTTCCGGAGGTCCGTTCTTAACCTGAAACTGTTCTTAACCTGAAGCACCACTTTAGCTACTGGGGCCTCCTGCTGCTGCTGCGCCGCCGGAGCCCGATTTCTGTTCTTAACCTGAAGCACTATTTCTGGGTTAGTAGAGTGTGTAACCTGAAGCGTATGTAACCCGAGGTACCACTGTAGTAAAACTGAGCAGTTCCTAAAAGTAGCAGCTCCAGGTGTGAGGTGCAAGGCTGGGTGTGGTGTAGGGCCTGACCCAAAGGAGGATAGTAAAAAGGTGCTGTATTGATAGCATACATAGGACTAAAGGAAAGTTACCTTTCTTAAGCTTTCTCACAGCCAGCATACGGTGTTGAGAGGAAAGTTCCCAGATCCTCAGAGTTTTATCATCACTCACTGTTGCACAGATAGGTAAGAGGGGATGCGCTGCCAGACCCCAGACCTCCCCTTCCATATGCCCCTGTTTATACAGAAAAAGAGTGGTTTACAAAAGAAAATCATGTACATTTATGCTTTAATTCCAAGCTAGGATTACTTTCGAAAGAGCGTTGTGGGTTGTTGGTTTTTTTACTGTGTTGCTTACTCATCCTCTGGCAACGAGGGTCCCTGTAATTCCCATTTATTCTCCTCCTTTCTCACCTGTGTACTGGTGGAGGGGTTAATAACTTCAAAAACCATTTAGGACATTTCTGCCTGAACCTAGCCACATGGTCAGAAAGTGCTCTGCCACACATCCTAGAGTGTTCTCTATACAGTGGTACCTTGGTTTTCAAACAGAATGCATTCCAGGAGTTTTGGAAAGTGAAAATTAAGTAAGTTTGGTTTTAAGTGTGGTGAATTGAATTTCTCCCCACATTCCTATTTGAGAAGCACAAAAACAACTGTGCATTCTGATGGGTTGCTTTTGTTTTTGTTTTGCCTTGCTTCTTGCATTTGATTTTCCAGTTCTATAATAAACAATATTAATCTAGTTGATTCAAACCATACTAGATGTGTTCATATTTACTGTCTCATTTGTTTCATATTGATTCCAAATACAGAACAAGCAACCACCCTTTTTCTCAAAATCACTAAACCCCACCCATTCAAAAGTGCACAAAGTTTGCTATTTTATTCATAATCATTCTTCTCCCATTTTTCCCTCTTCCTAAAGTATATTGCTGTTACCATATATTTCTGATTTTTTTTTTTGCAATTAAAACCTGAGCAGCCATTAACACATGCAACGCCAAAACAAAGGAACTTTAAGAAACATTATACTTTGCCACTTATAAACTCTGAAAGCAAACTGATCTGCACACCAAGAGCCAAAACAATCTGACTGTAAAGGAAAAGAGAGTGAGGTAGATGGAGATTAATTAGCAATCCAAAGTAAAGATCACGTGAAAGTAAGCAAGTGTAGAAATGCTGGAAGTCATACTACCTGCACAAGCAGAGTCATGGGGCCGCTTTTATCAATTTCAAGAATCTCCCCGTTTTTTGTTCCCACCAGTATATGCCCATGTCCTAAGGTGATGGCACGAATGGACGGGTTATCTTCCAACAGCAACCCTGGAGATTAGATTAGAAGGAACGTTCAGAAGAGTGTGGATTTTTTGAAGAATGACTGTGCTTTGGTTCATGCACTGTTTTGGGATGTGCAAATTAGGCTGATTAATCTTTAAATGGGAATTAAACTGAATTGCTCCCTGATCCCTACTTGCAGAACAATACAGAGCTGGAAGATGCTTAAGCAGACTGCCTAGGTTTTTCCCAATTTGCCTAGATTTTGGGGAGGGGTTCTGCAGGAAGGCATCTCTCACCAAAGTCACGTATGAGGTTATACCTTTGGAGCCAGGCGACAATGCTGCTCTTTTAATGGCGTATGTCTTCAAGCACCTCTCAAAGGTGTCATCCCAAAGTGCCACTACGCCATCCTTCCCACCTGTCACAAAGCCCTGCACAAAAGTAAACATAATAACAATAACAATAATACAATTTTTTTATTTATACCACGCCCTCCCCACCCAGAGGCGGCTAGCACCAGTAAAATTACAATAAAAACATAAGGGGGGGGGAAGGAAAAAATAAATAAATGCGGGTTAAAATGCAATTTAAAATGCAGCCTCATTTTAAAAGTAGCCCATAGATCAAAACCATAAGGGGAGGGAAACATAAGGGTCAGACTGAGTCCAAACCAAAGGCCAGGTGGAACAGCTCTGTCTTGCAGGCCCTGCGGAAAGATGTCAAGTCCCGCAGGGCCCTGGTCTCTTGTGACAGAGCATTCCACCAGGTTGGGGCCAGTACTGAAAAGGCCCTGGCCCTAGTTGAGACCAATCTAACCACCTTGCGACCTGGGACCTCCAAAATGTTGTCATTTATGGACCTTAAGGTCCTCTGCGCGGCATACCAGGAGAGGCGGTCCCGTAGGTACGTGGGTCCTAGGCTGCATAGGGCTTTATACTTAATGCATTAACATTAGAGACGAAGAAGGTGTGCACACATGCAACTGGGCTACAGAATCAAGGCTGCTTTACGTACTAAGCACATTATTGTACTTGAAATATACTCAGGGTCGAGTGTGGATTTCATGCTCTTTATTCAGCTCATAGTGGTGAGGAGGAATGGAAGTTCCCCCAAAGTATCTGCTTTATATACATTATTTACACAATGGGCCACACGTGATTGGCTAATTCTGGGATTCTTCTGTAGGCCAATCAGGTTGCGGATTCACTTCCACCTGGAGCTGGATTGGGTGGCTCCTGCGGACCAATCATACTGCTGCATTGTTCTAGGACCAATCAGACTGCTGCATTCTGAATCCTATTGTTCTAGGACCAATCAGACTGTCGCATTTTGGATCCTATTGTTCTAGGACCAATCAGACTGCTGCCTTTTGGATCCTATTCAAATGTGCATTCCCACTTCTGTGGCACACAACCTCGCAAGCACCGACCGCGGTGAGGGTGTCTGAGACCCAGAGAATGAGCGCAGTCTTCAGTTAGATTTGTGGGAATAAAGACTAATCCAAAGAATGTGAAGTGGACCAGGGTTGAAACGAGTGCCTCTAAGAAAAAAGCTCATGGTCATGGCAATGAAACAATAAGCAGTCATGAATTGGTGGCAGCCTATCCAAAATCTGCTTCAGGATATATTAGTAGAGTAATGAGAACCACATGGAACAAGCTGCAGCTTCTTCTGCCACAGTGATAGAGATGTTCACCTGCTGACACCCCTCTTGTACACAACAGCATCTTTCTTATGTCCTGTCCTTAACTTCGAGACCTACCAAGAGCTACTGAGAGGTCCCTTTGGGGGGGGCAAATTTATGAAGGCCGCCTAAAATCCTGCCATCAACCCTGAAGCCGGTCAGCAGAGCAAAGTTGCCTGAGTCATGGAGGTTAGCAGGGGATGCAAAAGGTCAAGACCAGAGGGAATTAAGGCAGGATCATCCCAACTGCCTTTAATAGATGGAAACACCTATCAATGGCAATGCCTCCCCCAGGTGTAACTAGAGCCAACCAGCTCCAATAGACCCATCTGATTTCCAAAGGCACTTTGTGATACAGCGCATACATAGCATGCAAATGGACTTAGGTTCAACCCCTGGCTTCTCCAGTTAAAAGGACCAGGAGGCAAGAGAAATCTCAGTCTGAGACCCCAGAGGCCCACAGTGTAGACAATAGTGGGTTACATTATTGTTATGTACTAAGCTTGGATCCTAGAACAACAGGCAGGTAGGATGTTAGAAGGCAGCAATCTGATTGGTCTGCAGGAGCCGCCCAATCCGGCTCCAGGAGGAAGTGCATCAGCAACCGGATTGGCCTGCAGCAGCAGTCCAATCAGGCTCCAGGAGGGAAGTTGAATCAGCCAATCACGAAGGATCCATTGTGCAAAAATGTATATATAGCCAGAGGTTTCGGGGGAAATCACTCACTGTTTACCATGAGCTGAAATAAAGAGCAAATCAACACTCAACTCCGAGTATATTTTAATTATGTGGCCTGGTATAAGACAGGCACTTATGTTCTTCTTTTTTAAAAGCTAGACTTTGATAAGCAGAGTTGCAGGGTATCCCCCCCTCCCAGTTTTCCATCCCTTTGACCATGGCACATTAAAACTTTCACAGAATTCTTCAAGCCAGATAATCCAAAAATAATCGCTGCAGTTCAAAGCTTGCAAACCTCATAAAATTGTATTAGGTAAAGGTAAAGGTACCCCTGCCCGTACGGGCCAGTCTTGACAGACTTTAGGGTTGTGCTCCCATCTCACTCAAGAGGCCGGGGGCCAGCGCTGTCCGGAGACACTTCTGGGTCACGTGGCCAGCGTGACAAAGCTGCATCTGGCAAGCCAGCGCAGCACACGGAAATGCCATTTACCTTCCCGCCAGTAAGCGGTCCCTATTTATCTACTTGCACCCGGAGGTGCTTTCGAACTGCTAGGTTGGCAGGTGGTGGGACCGAGCAGCGGGAGCGCACCCCACCGCGGGGATTCGAACCGCCGACCTTCGATCGGCAAGCCCTAGGCGCTGAGGCTTTTACCCACAGCGCCACCCGCGTCCCTTAAAATTGTATTAGTAGCTCTCTAAATGACATGTGAGAGAAACTGTGGTACATGTGAATCCCAGTAACACTGGGAAAAGGCAACTGAGTGGCCTTGGAAGTTGGATTTGTATCGGAAACTGAAGTCCAAGGCTTCTGAGGTAGAACTTCCAGAATTGTTATGTTTTGACCACCATTGAAGACCAGTGAAAATCAACTAGGTAAAGCAAGAGACTCCCAGGTAAGTGAAGTTAGGATCTCAGTCAGTGTCCATGCTCAGAAGCGGTGTAACTGAGTTCTAGGTGCTGAGGAAGAAACATCCTACCTATCTTCCAACTGTCCTACTGTAAAGAAGGCTTGATAGATCTTTGATCCGATTCAGCCAAGTAATTCCTACTGGCATCACTGCTGTAAGTAAAGGTAAAGGTACCCCTGCCCGTACGGGCCAGTCTTGACAGACTCTAGAGTTGTGTGCTCATCTCACTCTAGAGGCCGGGAGCCAGCGCTGTCCGGAGACACTTCCGGGTCACGTGGCCAGCGTGACGAAGCTGCATCTGGCGAGCCAGCGCAGCACACGGAAACGCCGTTTACCTTCCCGCTGGTAAGCGGTCCCTATTTATCTACTTGCACCCGGGGGTGCTTTCGAACTGCTAGGTTGGCAGGCGCTGGGACCGAACGACAGGAGCGCACCCCGCCGCGGGGATTCGAACCACCAACCTTTCGATCGGCAAGTCCTAGGCGCTGAGGCTTTTACCCACAGCGCCACCCGCGTCCCATATCACTGCTGTAGGGTGCAACAAATGATTCCTGGGCATCCAAACCCCAAGGATGCCAAAGTGAAATTGTGTCTGTTTTGTGTGTGCATGGGGTGGGCTTGAAACGAGATAGGTATATGAAATGAGATAGGTACGTGGCTCTGGATTTGAAATTCCGAAGCCAAACAAAGAATATCTGGTGGTGACGCAAGGCACACATACCTTATCTAAGGCGTGCATGGCAAATACAGGCCCATCGTGAGCTTTCACCGTCTTAAGCAGCAAAATATCTTTCCAGATGTAAATGTCTCCTGTGGCAGATCCAGAGAAAACAAGGTCCTCTATTCGCCCGTACGAAACACTCATCATGGTTTCCTGCTTCCCGATATTTCCAAAGATGCCACGCTTGGAGGTGAAACCACCACCTGAATTGTGATGACAGAGCAACACACATTATTATAAGTGTGTGTGTGTGTGTGTGAGAGAGAGAGAGAGAGAGAGAGAGAGAGAGAGAGATGAACGGCCAGTGTGGTGTAGTGGTTAAGAGCGGTGGACTCGTAATCTGGTGAACCGGGTTCGCTTCCCCGTTCCTCCACATGCAGCTGCTGGGTGACCTTGGACCAGTCACACTTCTTTGGAGTCTCTCAGCCCCACTCACCTCACAGAGTGTTTGTTGTGGGGGAGGAAGGGAAAGGAGATTGTGAGCAGCTTTGAGACTCCTTAAAGGGAGTGAAAGGCGGGATATCAAATCCAAACTACTCCTCCTACTACTCTTCTTCTTCTTCTTCTTCTTCTTCTTCTTCTTCTTCTTCTTCTGCTTATGATGGCTCCTGCCCTGTTACACCCTATGAAGGTACAGTGGTACCTCGGGTTAAGAACTTAATTCGTTCTGGAGGTCTGTTCTTAACCTGAAACTGTTCTTAACCTGAGGTACCACTTTAGCTAATGGGGCCTCCCGCTGCTGCTGTGTGATTCTGTTCTCATCCTGAAGCAAAGTTCTTAACCTTTGGTACTATTTCTGGGTTAGCGGAGTCTGTAAGCTGAAGCATCTGCAACCTGAAGCGTCTGTAACCCGAGGTACCACTGTACTTTCAGATATTCCTTAGTTGACAAAATTGAGAGCCCTGCACACTGTTGACACCAGTTCACACAACGAGCGCCAACAACCCTTGAGTATGGTGGTTTGAAAAACTGCTTTGGCTATCAGAGGAACTTAACTGGGAATCTGTTGTGTAGGGGCACACCAGCTCACATCCTGGGTGTGACTAAAGGAATGACTTCCAGCAGAGGTAGGTCAAGAGAAAGGCTCAGACTTGTGAACAGCATGGAATTGCCCAATGGGAAGAAATAACTTACATTCCTTTCTTTTTAAACTAATTTTTATTTGTTCTTAAACAAATACAAATACAATAACCATTAAACATTCTTAATGCAACACCATACCTGCTTGCTGCCAGAATTTGAGGTGTTTCATTCCAACGGTTACCAGTTTATCAGCATGGTGAGGGTTGCATTTCACTACAAATATCTTGTCTTTATGGCCTCTGCAATGAATTAAAGAGTAATGAATACATGAGTTGTCTACCCATCTTTTTTTTTTTAAAGATTTTGGTGCATGCCAAAAAAAAGGCACTGCTTTGGCATACATTTTTAGAAATTAGAAAGATGAGTTGGATGGGGATTTATTGATCTATAAGCAAGCCTTAAGAATTTAACGAGTTGTGACAGCAGCAGACCTGTTTTACAACAAAAGGACACAACTGAACAGGTGTACTATGTGTTGCTACTGCAAGACAGTCGTTGAAGAGAAATTTAGTATACATTCTGGTTGCTGTAGGTTTACATCCCTATTATTGCCGATCGAAACAGAAAGATTTAAAATCATACAGTATATGAAAAGGGTTCTTGTATCCTTAAGGTGCTTGAAACTGTCACTATTTTGCACTATTTTGGTGCTCTTGTGCAACAAACCTGTTCCCCCCCTCCATTTTTTCACAGCAAGGAAAGAGATGGGGAACATATGGAATACCAATCACTTGATGCAAAATTGCATAGATCAGAATGAATGCTCAAAAAACAGCAGATGTCACACAAACTCCCTGCAAACTTTTTGCAATGAATCAGGATGAATAGTCAAAAAACAGGTCATCTGGAAGCGAGGTTAGAGTCTGGAAAAGTCTGAATTAAGTCCCTCTGACAAGCCATTTTGGTTTTATCTGCTATGACTGAATGGAGTTCTAACATCCTCTGAGAAGTTAGCGCAGCCTGCAGAGTGAACACAGATCCATCTCAATATGATCAATATGATCCATGACATATTAAATATTGCTGAATCCAGTTCATGCAGCAAGCGATGGAAGGAAGCAGATGTCTGCCAAAACAAGCGTTACTCTACAGCAGGCTTCCTCAGCCTCAGCCCTCCAGATGTTTTTGGCCTACAACTCCCATGATCCCTAGCTGGCAGGACCAGTGGTCAGGGATGATGGGAATTGAAGTCTCAAAACATCTGGAGGGCCGAGGTTGAGGAAGCCTGCTCTACAGGATTCATATAAATACATATTGGTAAGTTTCACTCCTCTTATAATTCCTCCAGTTCTGATAATTCTCTTAAACTGCTAAATTACCTTTAGTCCATGAAAAACTGCCAGTTGCAGTGTGTTTTCAACACTTGCTAAAAACATACATGTTTGGCCAAGGATTTCTGGTCATTGATATCCAGCCTTTGTAAAACTTTCCTAGTTCCTGTACTTTTGTTTTAATGCCAATTTTATTGAATCTGTTTTGATACTTTTGTGAATTCTGGATTTAAAAAAAAACAAACAAACACGAAAGGCAGTATAGAAGTGTTTTAATTTAAATGAAGAAAAGGGAACAGGGAACAAACTGGAGTTACCCATAACGGCTTCAGTCAAAGTTAAAGCTCTCTTTTCGTTCCCATAGTTTGTGAAGGTGACTGGTAAAAAAAAAAAGGATCAGTATTTTAAACTGATCAGCAGAGCTCAATGAAGCTCATTGTGGGTCCAGTCAATTATGTATTCACTGTTTCATGAGATAATAGCATACCCCCCAAAATCTTAGAAATAATAGTATGAATGAACAGGAACAGAAACAACAGGAATGGGGACATTTATTGGAGTTGTACTGTATGGATCCTTCGTTTAGTAGGCAGACACTACAGGAAGTCGTTTCAACATGATTCACAACAATTTCTTGAGGAAGGCAGCCCATATTGGAGAAGGAAAACTCTGATCCTAAACTTGAGGGCTATCTTCAGGAGAAGAAAATGCTAAGGAGTAAACGCTACACATATTCCCCCCTGTATGGCTCCTTGTACACCTCCTTCTGGCAACTCCTGCAGCCAATATGGTGTCAGATGTATTGCTCTGCTTTCCTTTGGACCACATCAGAAAGACCGGGGGGAGGGTCTTGTCGTCTGGCCAGCTCAGGACCTCCATAACCATTGCCCAGACTTGTGCCCCGGAGAGGTCACAACTCAGCAAAAACAACATGAGAGGTAGCACTTATGCTTCAGTCCATCAGTGGCTACAAGATGCTACACTTGATCTTAGCCAAAAGGCTGAGAAGTGACAGCTACAAAATATCATAATCCCACTCAGCCTCCCCAGTGGTTCTCAACTTGTGGGTCCCCAGATGTTGTTGGACTACAGCTCCCATCATCCCTGAGCTCTGGCCTTGCTAGCTAGGAGTGATGGGAGTTGTAGTTCAACAACATCTGGGGACCCACAGGTTGAGAAAGGCTGCTCCAGACTATTACGGACGTCACCTGTATATCAGTCTAACAGGAAAGTAACTGGATCTGACCAAATGAAACAATGCTACATAATTATTATTCAGCAAATCTTCTCCATTTTGAGGCAGACTCTATTTCATATGGAGAGCAGTTTTCAGGAAAGTGTTGGCAAAGTAATTCATAAGGGGGTAAAAAACAACCCCACACAGCTGTGCTTCAATGTATTCAAGATAACAGAGGGAAAGGCGACACAGGTCAAATTAATTAAGAGAGCTATAAAGAGCACCATTTAAACCGCTAGGCGATAAGCAAGTTGCTATTAATATTTAAGCAGTCTCAGAAGGAGGACTGGAAGATCCGTGATAAGTAATTGCAGCACATTAGATGGATAATTAGAAGGGCAAAAATTAACACAATATTTCAAAGAACAGTTAAAGCCAACAGAAATGAGGCATGAAATATAGATTTTGATTAATTCATGTTAGTTATTTCAGTGGGTCCTGGGATTTGCCCCACAAAGTTTTAAATCATCACAATCCTGCTAGAATATTTGCAAGAAGTTATTAGGCTGGTAGTTGTACGGGGAGGAGAAGAGCTGAAAGGCTCTGCCTTCCCATCTTTGCAAAGGGATACGGCAGCTCATGCTTGAGAAATGTAGCTTTCATTGTAAAAAAGTTAAGAGAATTCACCACCTCTGGGTTCTGCATGGTCCCTGGAGGTGTATTTAAAGTATAGGCTCAAAAACTAAACTTAAATTCAAAGGGGATTCTAACTTTGCAGAAGACACATTGATGCAGCAGATTAACCGAATGGGATGTCAACGCTCTGCCATTTGAATGAACTCTGATGTCTTGTCCATTATCAACGGGGGGGGGGCTGGGCTGGGTGCGTTTCAAAAACCCACCCAGCCCTCGCTGTTGGTTGGAGGGCAAAGGACTCAAGCTCAGATGTTTTGGGGTGTTTTGAACCAGCATGTAACACAGTTCAACTGTATGCAAGATTTCAGCCAAATACTTTATACTGAGATAAAAACACACACCCTACTACTGTTTAATAATAGACAAAGCAAGTGTACTGCATTGAAAGAAATCATTGAGATCCATGATTTGCCTGGGCGCAGTCCTTATTTTATAAAAAGGGAAGCTTCTAATTAATAGTGGAAATGAGAACATCCATTAGAGAACCAATTAGATAAGTGACCAAACTGTTCCCGAAAACTTCGAGCGTTCAGGCAATCACAAAAGCTTCTTAGCCCCTGTGAGGTTAACAGATAAACTCCCAGGCAACAAATGGAAAATTTAAAAAATATGTATTCCAATTTGAGATGGGGAAGATGGGAATGGGCCCAGAAGAGGTTGTCTGACATTATCAGACTTGGAAAATCTATTTATATTCTACCACCAAAACTGCAAGGGGGGGTTCAGGCGGAGAAACTATCTCCCCTCCAACCACACTGCTGTCCACAGCAAGAGGGCAGCTATAGGTCATTTGTTGCAAACACTGCAGAATAAAGGCATAGAAGAGCATAAAGTAACATTTTGCTTTGGCAGAACAGGTGGAATTGTTTCCTCCATTCACATAACGACCCCCCCCCAATTCATCATAAACTTACGCAAGAATGGGGGGGGGGGAACCAAGAATGTAAGCTATAAGGGGGTAACTGGGTTGTTGTTTTTATTTTTATTATGTATTTTGCAGTTTTATATCTTGATTTTATTCTGTGAACTGCCCTGAGATCTCCCAGGTATAGGGTGGTATATTAATACAGTAGTAGTAGTAGTAGTAGTAATAATAATAATAATAATAATAATAATAATAATAATAATAATACAGTGGTACCTCGCAAGACGAATGCCTCGCAAGACAAAAAACCCGCAAGACGAAAGGGTTTTTTGTTTTTTGAGCTGCTTCGCAAGATGATTTTCCCTATGTGCTTGCTTCGCAAGACGGAAACGTCTTGCAAGTTTGTTTCCTTTTTCTTAACACCGTTAATACAGTTGCGACTTGACTTCGAGGAGCAACTCATAGCACGCGGTCTGGTAGCCTTTTTTGAGGTTTTTGAAGACTTTGGTGATTTTTGAAGCTTTTCCGAAACTTTTCCGACACCGTGCTTCGCAAGACGAAAAAAATCGCAAGACGACAAAACTCGCGGAACGAATTAATTTCGTCTTGCGAGGCACCACTGTATAAGGCTGAAAATGTTATTACCATCATTAATGTTAGGGAATACAGCAAAACAAAACAACAAGATGTACCTCCTATGCTAGTTAGGACAAAGCAGCAACATCTGGAATAAACAACATAGGTGGAATACTGGTGAACATGCAGGTGTCGATGGGTAAAACAATCAATATGTCATTCAAGATTAAATACCCCTCCATGAATTAAGTCTACATATTTTCTTGGTGTGAACAGGGCCATCAAGTGCAGCAATCACAGAACTTTTCATATTGGTCTCACATTTTTTAGGCATGCATCATTACGCAACACAGTAATTCAGTTTTACTAGCAAACCAGATGTTAAACTAACCTCTTTCCAGCCCCACGAGGAGCATGGGTAGCATTCGTGTGACACACTTACACACTGCAGCCGACACACTTACATGTCGCGACACACAGTTTGGAAATCTCTGCTCTAATCAATGCATAGAAATCTGGCATGTGAGAAGGTGGGGCATTGATGAAAATCACAATCTTGCTCTCTCTCTCTTGACTAAACATACAGGTTTAAGGTATGGGAGGAAGGTGGTATTTTAATCTCTTAAAACAGCATCCTAAATTTTGGACCTGAAAAAAATATATGCATGCAACTCAAGCTGTTAGAGAGCATGCCTGCGTGACAACGTTCTTACCTGGTTGCTGCCATCTTTTCTCCTTTTTTCCAGTCCCAGAGTACGATGGTATGATTGTCATCTAACCCAATAGACGCCAGACATTTTCCATCAGCTGCACAACATCAGAGGTGAGAAACCCTTAACAGAAATCTGACAAATGCTGCATTTATTTATTGCAAATTTAAAGTAAAGGTACTAATAGTGATGCAGCTGGATGCTTCGCAATAAACATAATTTTTCACTGGGGTACAGGAGCAAATTTTCTGCTAACTGTTGCATTGTCAGTCACAGCGTGTACAGGTCAACCTATCAGGTTCCTAAACTTTTCGTAGCTTATTATATGAAACCCACATCACTATCTAGCTCTCTGCCATACCTCTCCCCAGTATCACCAGAAGTTACTGAGAAAAGTATCAAGAGGCGAATTAAAATAAGGAGAAACTGTCAGTTTGCATTTCTTAGTACAGAAAGTATTGATCTGATGTGTAGAAATCTTTCCTATTCTAATTAATTCAAGAGGGTTCTGGAAGCTGCTGTGTGTGAAAGAAACAAGCAGAAGGTTCCTGATGTTTAGGTTATTCATTCAGAGAAGCTGAGTACAGCAGGCTTAAGCTGGTTCTCTTATCTCTTCTGTCAAGGTCATGCCGACTATAATAATAAGGCCAGAAGGAGCCTGGGTTTCACTCTTTCTATCTCTCTTCCTTCTGGTGTGGTGTTCTGAATATAGTGTTAAGGTTTAGTCCTTTTTATGAGTTATTGTAAGTTTAAGTCTGCTGCAACTGGATTTCTTATGGACAGTGCCAATCCTGAATGTATTGGATTTGTGACCATGATGTTCATTTGCCTTCAGTAGCAGTAAAGCTCTGCTGGATGAAATACAATTGCCTCTGGTCTATTTTTTGGGGAATCTTGCAACGTGTTTAAGTTTTCACTCTGCTAACTATACGTTCGAGTTCTGCTCTGGATCAACGCTGAGTAGAATACATGACAGAAACACCGTTTCCTTCTTTCACAGGAACGATAAGGCCCACTACTAAGGCACACCTCATTTTATTGCACTGCGCTTCACAGATATTGCGCCTTAACAAAGCTGCAGCTGCAGCAAGCCTAGGCGCTTCCAGGGGAAGGAAGTCCCACACCCTACCCCTCTTCTGGCCATGGGAGTGCAGCTGGCTTGGGCTGGAGCCAAGTTTACCCTCTCCTGTGCTTGCAGCTCACTAGACTACACTATAATATAAATGTAACGTTTATATCATGGGTAGGCAAACTAAGGCCTGAGGGCCGGATCCGGCCCAATCGCCTTTTCAATCTGGCCCGTGGACGGTCCGGGAATCAGTGTGTTTTTACATGAGTAGAATGTGTGCTTTTATTTAAAATGCGTCTCTGGGTTATTTGTGGGGCATAGGAATTCGTTCTCTTTCCCCCCAAAAATATAGTCCAGCCCCCCACAAGGTCTGAGGGACAGTGGACCAGTCCCCTGAAAAAGTTTCCTGACCCCTGGTTTATATGCACTGGGAAACCCCTAAAACTGTGTGACTCGCGTTATTGCAATACAGTGGTACCTCGGGTTAAGAACTTAATTCGTTCTGGAGGTCCGTCTGCAACCTGAAGCGTCTGTAACCCGAGGTAGCACTGTACAATCATACCTCGGGTTACAGACCCTTCAGGTTGCATTTTTTCAAGTTACGGACCCGCCGAAACCCGGAAGTACCAGAACAGGTTACTTCCGGGTTTTGGCGGTTGCACATGCGTAGAAGCGCCAAATTGCAACCCGCATGTGCACAGACGCGCCACTGTGGGTTGCGAACGCTGCGGGTTGTGAACATGCATCCCTCACAGATCACGTTCGCAACCCAAGAGTCCACTGGATTCGCTTTACTGCAATGGTCTGGAACCGAACCCACAATATCTCTGAGGTATGCCTGTACTCTCAAGGAAAGCAAAGAAGAGCATAGTGCAGCCTCTCTAGCCACCAGCAGCACCAACATCTGCTTAGTTTCAACAGTGTTCAGTGGAAGGAGAACCTCCAACCCAACACCGGCATAAATCAAAAACTAGCCTGATTTCACTGAACTCTTGACACTGTCAATCCAGCCTGAGGTGGTGGTTCCTGGCCAACAGAACATGTGGCTTGCAAACAAAGGGGAGAAGGCTATCGTGGCATGTGCTCCACTGAGCGCTTACTGAACTCATCAGGGAGGAAAGCAGACTTAGGAGGTAGCTACTGTGAATCAGATCAGCAGTTGCCGAGCAGATTCAGGCAAGGGGTATAATCTCCCACAAAACTTACAAAATATCTAGCGGCACAGCCCCATGCGGAGAGGCTGTTGCTAATGGGATTTGCTCTCAAATCAAATGTTTCCCCGGCAGTCAAAATACATTCTTGGTGGGGATGGGACCACATTTTGAAGTATAGATTGTGAGAAACTTGCAACAAGCGCAACACATCAATAACAGTGCGAAACAGGTAGTATTTTAGGAGTGCTATTTATTTTTCATACAACACATAACTCCCACAACTAGGCACCCTACAAAAATTAAAAGAGGAGCAGGCCTGGCCTGCCAGCTTAAAGTCTGATACAATATAAGGCATATTAAGGATGGTTTGTACACAGCATCCATTAGGAACATCCCTCTGTAAATTCCACTGTTGCTAGGCTTATTGAGAAATACTGTTATGAAGAAAGGGAAAGAACAGTGACATAAGAACTTGCTTTAAGGTTTACGCACTCATGAGCTGCTCCAAAGTGGGAACTGAACCTATTTATTTGGAAACTGATAAGGAAATGTGGCAATACTAATATTGGAGAGAAAAACCAGAAACGGACAGCAACCAAAACTAATGGATCCATGAGACCCTAGTTGAAAGTAGATAGCTGCTTACCTGAAAAATCAAGGGCACAGACGCCTCTTTGGTGTTGGCCTCTTAGCAGTGACAAACATTTGAGTGCCTGAGTGTCCCACACGTGAATGGCGGCATCTCTCCCAACCTAAATCAGAACACCTGGTGTGAGCGGCTGTGCGTAAACAAAAAACTTGACAGTAATAATTTCCACCCACCACATGCTCCAACCAGGACAACTTCCTAGTTTTCTCAACCAGATGTCTCTTAAGTGTGGTTTACTTTGATATCTCAGGTGCTGACAAGAGGCTTCCTGCCCGTATTGTCATCTAGACTTGGCCACGATCCGTTGTTCAGAATCTTACTTCCATTTTCATAACTGTCACCCTTGCATTCTTCTCCTCAGTTTCACTACGTCTCTCAAGTACAAAATATATCCATGGAGCACCTAGTTATTGGCTCTCCCATTCAATTCCTTCTCCGTGGGCACCCTCTGGGGTCAAGGGGTCTCCTGACACAAACTTACCTTCACGCTTCCTGTTCCTCCAAGACCCTTTTTACCAGCTGGCATTTGGATAACAACAGACTGCAACCTTTCCCTTGAGGTCATCTTCAGTTTGCCCTCCCTATCCTCTTCTGTTTTCCCTCCTGTCACTCTTAGCAGCCTCTCCAGTACTTTGCCTTTCTTCTGTTTGACTTTTGGGGATTGCTCCACTGAGCTTTAAGCCTTCAAGCATTTCTCTTCTCCTTCCTGCATTCTATTTCGGGGTGATCCTTTGACCAGCGCTATCACACTGATGATTCATACATGTATCATCGTCTTCATTCCTACTTGGTTCCCTCTAGCCAAACTAAATTAAAAAAACCACGTTTCTCTGATTTATACCCTTGGATGTCTAGCCATCACTGGAGTCTAACATTCCCCAAACTGGAACTCTGTTTTATTTTAAACTTTATCCTATATTTTCCTTTCTTGATGCTGCAGCAATAGCGGGACATCTGACCTCCTGAAACCTTAGTTATTGCTGCTTATCAGGATGTATAAATATCGCTGCCAGTAAACCTCACTGCTCCCCATATCGTTGGCTAAAGGTAAAGCGACCGACGTGGCCGACTCTGGGGTTGTGGAGCTCATCTCGCTTTAGTGGCCGAGGGAGCCGGCATACAGCTTCCGGGTCATGTGGCCAGCATGACTAAGTCACTTCTGGCAAACCAGAGCAGCGCACGGAAACGCCGTTTACCTTCCTGCCGGAGTGGTACCTATTTATCTACTTGCACTTTTGACGTGCTTTCGAACTGCTAGGTTGGCAGGAGCAGGGACCGAGCAACAGGAGCTCACCCCATTGCAGGGATTTGAACCGCCGACCTTCTGATCTATACTATAAATGGTATACATTCCCTGTAACTTAGGTGTATTTTATGGTTTGATGCCCGCATCCTGCCTTCTGTTGGGGAGATGCTCTCCTATTTTTCTGCAAGGATACGGGTTCCTTACTATCAGCAGAGGCAACATTTAACTTTGTCTTCCTTGCACCCCCGCCCCCCACATTTTGGCCATAGGGATGTTTGAACATGGACATCCCAATGAAACCATTATGCTGATAGTTATGCAGACTACCTTAATATCCCTCCCTAAAATGTACACTCAGAAATGGAAAACTAAAATAGTAGCTGCAATAATAACTCCTTCTAGAAGCAAACAGTACCCCATGCCAACAGGATTGGAGCCAAGCAGAGAAACAAAGGGGAGGTATCAGCATGTCTGGATAACTCCAAGTTTTGCAAAAGAAACATTTTAAAATAAAAGTCTGAAGGAGCTCCCAAAATAACAGGCCCCCGCAAACTCAAACTGGCCAAACAAGGACTGAGCATGCTCAGCGGCCTCCAAGAATGGTAGAATGTTGAGTTACCGCTGGAAAACTGAGGATGGTAATGAATTGGCTTGCTTGAGCCTCTTAAAAGGTAAAGGTACCCCTGCCCGTACTGGCCAGTCTTGCCAGACTCTAGGGTTGTGCGCTCATCTCACTCTATAGGCCAGGAGCCAGCGCTGTTCGCAGACACTTCCGGGTCACGTGACCAGCATGACAAGCTGCATCTGGCGAGCCAGCGCAGCACACGGAACACCGTTTACCTTCCCGCTGGTAAGCGGTCCCTATTTATCTACTTGCACCCGGGGTGCTTTCGAACTGCTAGGTTGCTTGAGCCTCTTACAGCTTATCATATCTCACAGGAAGGCTGGGTGAACAGCAGCAGACCTGTTAAGGTGTGAGGAGAAACCAATGCAACATTTTCTTGTAGGTCCCATTTGCAATACACTGTTGTTGTTGTTTAGTCGTTTAGTCGTGTCCGACTCTTCGTGACCCCATGGACCAGAGCACGCCAGGCACCTCTGTCCTCCACTGCCTCCCGCAGTTTGGTCAAACTCATGCTGGTAACCTCGAAAACACTATCCAACCATCTCGTCCTCTGTCGCCCCCCTTCTCCTTGTGCCCTCCATCTTTCCCAGCATCAGTGTCTTCTCCAGGGAGTCTTCTCTTCTCATGAGGTAGCCAAAGTACTGGAGCTTCAGCTTCATGATCTGTCCTTCCAGTGAGCATTGCAATACACTAAATAACACCATTCCTAAGGTTGGTATGATATTTGAATTTTACAAAAACAAAGTGCAACAATAAGTAAACAACAACAACAACAATGATCGTAATAATAAATTTCCATTGAATTGGCAAGCATTGTTTCTCCAAAATCTTACCTGTCCAGTAGCAACATAGTCTTTCAGAGGATGGATGGCTAGACTGAGGATATCATCATCGTGACCGAGATACAGTCTTTGGGTGTGTTGCAGTCTATTGTAAACAACAGCAACAGCAGCAATGTGGTATACCACCTCCCCAGTCTGTGTGTAGAACAAATTGTTTCGGCAGTCATAGCCTCTGTAACTGGGATGAATGAAAAACAGCAAAAGGTGAACATTTTAGCAAAGTGGCCTGCAAACTGTCGAAGCAAAAGGATATTGTGCTATGATCCTAAGTGCCTTCAGATTTTGATGAAATCAATCAGACTCCATTTCTAAGTAATGTATTTAGGATACAGATTCAATATGAGAAGATGTGGATTAAGAATAATGCTGTGTGGTATTTTCCTGGGATGGACAAAAATGTCACAAGCTAGCTACTTAGAACCAGGCAGCTGGTTTCATTCACAGTCTACAACCAAGTTGTCTTCCAGTTTCACCTTAAATCCTGAACTAAATCTGAGTTTTCAAGACATGCTCAAACGGGTTTCATTGGACAGTCCTGCGTGCGGATGAACTGATATTAATGGATATTTTCAAAGGAATTCATTTCTACAGTGGTGCCCAGCAAAAAGCCTGCACGACTTCCATTTTTATGCAAAACATCGCCGTGTTAAGCTACAGCCAGTCCAGCCAAGAGTTCCAGACAGTCAAAATTATTACTGATCCAGAAAATAACTCTGAAAGCCAACGTTGACGTGAAGATGGAAAAGGAAATGGGAAGGGTTCATCTCCACCTTTCTCCGTATGTTAAAGCAAATGGGTGGACTGGTCCTTGGACCATAGCTGTCAACTTTTCCCTTTTCTTGCGAGGAATCCTATTCAGAATAAGGGAATTTCCCTTAAAAAAAGGGAAACATTGACAGCTATGCCTTGGACACTGCTGCCTGTGGGAAGCAGTTACCCATTTCCGTGCAACGTTGCATTTCCTATGGTGAACTCAATTTTTTTTAATACTGTTCCTTCGGTAGCCTAGACAGCACCATCTGTGCACAAGAGAGAGGTAGCGTACGGCTTGGGGGAACCCCAAGGTCTGCATAAACACAAACAATACTTTTGCTTAGAATTGCCCTCCGAGGGAGGGAGGGTCAGCTGCTAAAACAGCTCACAGATGGAGCACGTTAAGCGGACGTGGAACACTGGTTGTTGCAAGGTGGGTGGAAAAGGAAATGAGAGCCAGCGAGGCAAAGGAAATGAGAGCCAGCGAGGTGGGTGGAAAAGGAAATGAGAGCCAGTGTGGTATAATGGTTGGAGTGTTGAACTATGACCTGGGAGACCAGGGTACAAATCCCCACTCAGCCATGAAACTCACTGGGTGACCTTGGACCAGCCACTATTTCTTAGCCTACCCAACCTCACAGAACTGTTGTGAGGATGAACTGGGGAGGAGGTGAACCATGTACACCACCTTTAGCTCCTTGGGAGGAGAGGTGGTATAGGAATGTAATACATATATACCATATTTTTTGCTCTATAAGACTCACTTTTTCCCCTCCTAAAAATTCAGGGGAAATGTGTGTGCGTCTTATGGAGTGAATGCAGGCTGCGCAGCTATCCCAGAAGCCAGAACAGCAAGAGGGATTGCTGCTTTCACTGTGCAGCGATCCCTCTTGCTGTTCTGGCTTCTGAGATTCAGAATATATTTTTTCTTGTTTTCCTCCTCCAAAAACTAGGTGCGTCTTGTGGTCTGGTGCGTCTTATAGAGCGAAAAATACGGTAAATGGAATGACGTCTCCTTTAGGAAAGCATGAACAGGAGCAATCCATACGGCACCATTTTGTTACAGGTTTCAGTTGTCCACACTTAACATAAGCTACAGCTGATGTGTTGGTGACTTGGAAGCAGGCACAATGCAAAGCTACAATGCAAGCCCCTAATAGTAAACTCCATTTCCCTAAATGTGTTTCTTGGTTTTCATGATAACCTCAGACACAGTCTCTAAATCTAGGTGCTATTTCTGGTTTTGCCAAGAACAGATTACCTTTTTCTGTAAATTGTAGTCTATAAAAGCGAAAAGACAAGAGTAGTCACTACTGAAAAGTTATTATACCCATGTATAAATTGTAGCTTTAAGCTGTCCTCAGGAGCTCGCTCTCTTTTAAGGAAGGGCACTGAGTGGTTTTTCTCTTTACTTTGCTGTTTCAGTTGAGGTAGATCTTCTTTGTAAACCTAAAATAATCGAGAGTTACATTGCATTACACATCCCCAGTCCAATAATCCATGTGGCTTATTGCTATTTGTGCCACTACGGGGCCTAGTAATTTGCAAGATCAATGTCACTACCCTGCAATGCATGACAAAAATCTGCCTCTTTGAGAAGTCTGAATTCTATGTATCAGAAGCACCAGTAATGGAAGATCAGGCCAAGCTCATTCGATTACTGCACAAAAAAGTTTTAAAACTATGTGTCTATGTCTATCTGTGACACTTGATTCCCCACCTCCCCACCGCCCCACTATCTTAATTCTTTTAAATTAAAAAAAACCAAACATATGTAGATCCTTCCTTCCTTCGTTCAGGGAGTTTTTGTGACATATGCAAATGACAGAGGAGATTTAAGCAGTTTGTAAGCACTGAAAGAACTAGGAGATGGATTTACACTGCTAACAGGTACACCAGATATTAGGCATGCAAATCTTTTAAAGAGATGGTTAGGAACTCAGATACTATGACATCGGTTTAATCCAGTGGACAGCTGCAAAACAGCTTCCAAAGATTCCCGTGTGGGTGTAAAATTCCCTGCGTTTGGGAAGCTGCAAGATTCTAACGCACTGGAAATCTCTGCAAACTACATGTCCGAGTTGTTTCTATCAATCACGACTGCTTGCTTACAACCCTGTTCCTTAATAGATGGCCTCTGAGCCATAACAGCTCTACATATACTCTCCAGCTGTCCCTCCAAGCCATTGCATCTTCGTTTCCTATCATCACCCCCCACCCACCCACGATTCTCTGTCATACCTCCAGGCAGCAGCCAATAGTATCTGTGTTACAGCTGATACAGTCCCTTAGCACAATGCTATGCACACTGATTCTTAGAGAAACATTGGATTGAACACCCCACCGCCATCCCCATACGGTACTTCTGTTTAGGGTGCCCCTGAACTTTCAGCCAATGCTTTTCGGCAAGGGTGTATGTGGGACTACTATTGGAAGTTGGGAACAGAAAAAGCCCCCTTGTGGAAGAGGAGGAAGGAACTTCAAACTCTTGTGCCCAAGACTTGCTCCAAGCAAAAGTCACAACACAGGTCATAGAGTTGCAGAGTTGGGATCATGAGGGTCATCCCGTCCAACCCCCTACAATGCAGGAATCTTTTGCCCAACAAGGGACTCGAACCCATGACCCTCAGATTAATAATAATAATAATAATAATAATAATAATAATAATAATTTATTATTTATACCCCGCCCATCTGGCTGGGTTTCCCCAGCCACTCTGGGCGGCTTCCAACAGAATATTAAAATACAATAATCTATTAAACATTAAAAGCTTCCCTAAACAGGGCTTCCTTCAGATGTCTTCTAAAAGTCTGGTAGTTGTTCTTCTCTTTGACATCTGGTAGGAGGGCGTTCCACAGGGCAGGTGCCACTACCGAGAAGGCCCTCTGCCTGGTTCCCTGTAACTTGGCTTCTCGCAGCGAGGGAACCGCAAGAAGGCCCCCTTGGCACTGGACCTCAGTGTCTGGGCTGGACGATGGGGGTGGAGACCCTCCTTCAGGTATACTGGATTAAGAGTCTCATGCTCTACTGACTGAGTTATCTCCTCATAACTGCAAGGTCAGGTCCAGCAATCTGCAGAGGAAGCCTGCCTCACAGTCCATTTGGTGAGTGTGATGCATTCTGCAGTGACAAAGGCAGGGCCTTCTCTATGGGGGCCCCTCCATTTGCAGAATTACCTGCTTATGGAGAGAAGACTACCTTTAACTTAAAACATCTATTATTTCACACAGGCATTTGTAAATGAACTCGACCATTTAGATGCTGCTGCTGCTGCTGCGCTGAATTGCTTTCAATATTTTTATTAGTCCACGTGAGTTAAATGATGATTTAATTAATTGTTTATTGCTTTATGGCGTACACTACATTTAGCGCCTTAGGATCCTACAGAATGAAAGGCAGCTTATAAATGGAAATAATAAATAAACACTCACAAAAATGCAGAAAAGGGTGCAATTGTTGAAGCAATATACTTTTTCTTTTAGCTTCAACAAACAGATTGGAAATTAAGACATTTAGGGTCATTATGGCAAAAACATACGAAAGGCCACTTATGTCTTAAACAAATGCATCTTAGGAAATTCATGCAAATCTTCTTCCCTTCAGTGAAAATGAAATGCAATTCCTACATATTTATTCATCATTTTTATTTCATATAATTCCTTGCTTTATTGGTAGCCCTTTAATTTAAAGGACAATTCCTGAATTGCAGGGGTTGGACTAGATGAACCCCAGGGTCCCTTCCAACTCTACAATTTGATGAATCTATGACAATAAATTAACATTAATTTTGGATTTACCAGCTAACGAGAGCGGTGGGTTTGAAAACCCTTTGCGTGATTCTGTAAGAGACTTGTAGAAGAGCTGCATATTTTTCAACCTTTTTTTTTTTTTAAAAGGAAGTATCTGGAAAGAGCTGCACCTGCTCATTCAAAGGTTTTCTAATTAACTGATCTAAAGGGGTGGAATGTTCAGTCCCATGATTAACACGCAATGTCATCTCTCTGACCTCTTGCTAAAAATAAGACCGCTGTCCACATGACAATGGCAACAAAAAAACCTCCACTAATATATTATGCAAAGAAAGAAAGCTTAATGCCCCCTCTTAACTTCCTGTCTCCCCCTCCTAACTTTCTATTTCTCTACTTTCTCCCCCCTCTCTCTTTCCCCTCCTCAATCCCACATTATCTCCAACAAAAATGTCTCCAACTGGCTGCAATTCATTTGTATGAAGGATGCTAGGACTTAAAAACAGAGACACTGAATGTATTTTTGTTACCTATGGAAAATCTTTATACGAAAATAAAATAATAATAATAATATAAAATGCCGGGATAAAAAAGCTGAGTACAAATACAGTTTAAATACCCCAGTTCATATTTTTAGCCTTAACTTTCCTTAAATTCAACGTGGTCTCTCATTTAAACTCTCGAGCTCAGTTCTTTCACTTAACTTTTCCTTCCTTCAACTTTAAAATCCCTCCGCTGAATATGTTTCGGTGGGTTTCCAGGTTGCTGGGTCTAATGGCCTGTTTCCATATTGCTCACCTGTCGGGTGTAGTTGATTTGAGCTTCTTGCTCTATATCTGAGTCTAACTCTGGCACATCAGATAAATCGGAGTCAGATTCTTCGCTGTGTGAATCTATGCCACTTTCTGCACACGGGAGAATGCACCAGACGACATTTTAATAAAGGCAATTTAAAACGAAAGCCACATCCCCGCAAATAATGAATACAAAAACATGTGCATGCACACGAAAGCTCGTACCAATAACTAACTTAGTTGGTCTCTAAGGTGCTACTGGAAGGAATAATTTTATTTTATTCATTTTATTTTGTTCAAACAATTGTTTCTTATTTGGCAGTAGAAACATGCACACTGAACCTAACCAAAGATGCAAGCAGAGCACAGTGTTCAGTCTTCAGAAAATTCCATGAATATTCAGTTTATTTCTCTTTTCCATTATGGCCATAATTCTACAGAAGTATGCAGGTCTTCACTGAAAATTGGCTTTTCTATTCAGCTGCAGTAGAGCAGGTTCAAATACAGCTCCAGCTGCTCATATTGTTCTCTACTCTGTGCACATACAACTCTCTAGGATTCCCACTGACATCCATTAGTGACACACTAGAAAGCTGTGTGTACACAGTGTTTCCCCATCTGTTCTCCAGCGAATTCAAACCTCCCTTTGTCTCCTATTCCAACTTTTCTTCATTGGTCCTAGCTAAATATTCCTGTGGGTCTCTGCAGTTTGAAATGATTTCTAAAAGTTACTGATTGAAATATGTGGACATTCCCTGATGCACAGCGAACATTGTGTACATGTATTATTTGAGCAAACTGCACCCAAGGAGAACATGGGCCTGTAGGAAAGCAAAAGGCAATGTACATGTTGGATTCAAGTATTCTGGGGGATAATGATTGAAAGAAAACCCATCCAATCAATCAAAGCTATATTTTCAATTGCAACTTCTTTCAATGCTTGGCCAAAGCACCCAAGGCAAGTGAAGGTATTTTGCTTTGAGGGGCCTATGTCTTTTGGCTGAATCTATACTGCTCAGTTCAAGTTGGAACGGTTTGTTGGTTTTTATAACTGTAGCTGTTCTACAACTGTGTATTATGTGTTCTACAACTGTGTATTATGTTCTACAACTGTGTATTATGTTGCTGTAATAACCCATCCTGGGACCATAATGGTGAAGGACATAATTCAGTGACTGAACGAACAAACGAACAAACGAATAAAGAAATGTTATTTGCATTACCCTGGGGTGCTGTTTCATGGATTCCATTTGTTAAACCTTCTGGAATAAACCGCCACTGAAAAACAGAGTGATCTGCACCTCCAGTACTTATTACCCACTGAAAGTCATGCGACCAACGGACATTAGTAACATGTGCAGAATGGCCAACGTATTTTCTAAATTTAGCTCCTAGAACAATAATAAAAAAACCATATTGATAATTGCAGATAAAATTCATGAAATGTCAGAAAAAACCATAGTTACTTTTTGAATATATATATATATATCGTAGGTTCTTTTAATACAGCCAGCATGAAGTCGCAATAAATTATACACCTGATCAACACAGACATACAAAATGTGTTTTCCTTTCCCAATTAATGGGCAATAATTTTCACTAAAATGATTGCCCTGTCGCCTACCCTGCTCAGTCTTCGTATCATGGTAGTCAAAATGGCATATTCATTTCCCCTCGTTTTGTAGGTTTTGTTTTTGTCTTCAGTACTGGCACATATTAGCTTGCTGATGTAATCATATTAGATACTACTTCTTAATAAACAGAAAATAACAAAGAATCCTTTGTTAGTCCATAAAGCTGTTTCCTCTTTTGCTGCAGTGGACCAACACATCTAACTCTCTGGAAGAAGTTCTTGAGAGTTTATGATGGAAGTTGTTTGCATAAGTCAATGTAAATATCACCAGTGCTTTTTTTCTAAAAAAAATGTTTAGGGCTACTCTCATTTTGACTCAAGAAAATCACTGTTTTATAGTTCAAATCAGGGAAAATAAATACAGTAAATGGACAAAAGTACAAAGATTCACAAAATGTTTAGGGGTATGCGTCCCCCCCCAGAAAAATATCACGTAAGCTTAATGACAGAATCGTTCTAGTTCATTACATGTTTGAGTTTCATATTCCCTGTGCCCATGCATGTTTGATTGCAGTTTCCTAGGGGCAGAGCTTGCAGGGTATTTATTTATTTTATGTCAGCTGTGTGGCGTGATATAAATAGTAAATCGAAAGAGAAATCCTTACACTGCTACTGTAAGATGCAGCCAGAAGGCCTTTGTCCTCTTGACTCTGAAGTTTGTTTTCTAAAATAATTGGAAAGACGTTGAAAGAAAACCATTCTGAAAGCCAGCAGACCTCAGAAGGACAGAAGATGCTCAATAGCTTAGCGTTCAGCAACTTCTAATATTGTGTTTCCTGAACAATATGCCATGGACAGCTGGCATCCGAGGCAAATCAGGTATTGATTTGTGGGCTTCCAGTGGGCATCTGGTTGGGTACTGTGTGAATGAAATGCTGGTCTAGATTGTTGACATTTCCATTCCACCTCAAGGAACAAGTATGTGGAAATGTGTGTCACATGTCTGTTTACATTCCAGCACAGTATGCTGGGAACTTCCGCTTGTATACAGTTTTTGCTGTTCTCTCTGAGATGACATGAGAGAGAGACGACATGTTTCTTTGTTCTGATTTATGATTATGTCATGTACTGAGTTGAACAGGATCCAAAAAGCAGCAGTCTGATTGGTCCTAGAACAATAGGGTCCAGAATGCAGCAGTCTGATTGGTCCTAGAACAATGCAGCAGTATGATTGGTCCGCAGGAGCTACCCAATCCAGGTACAGGTGGAAGTGAATCCACAACCTGATTGGCTTACAGGAGAATCCCAGAATTAGCCAATCACGTGCGACCCATTGTGTAAATAATGTATATAAAGCAGATATTTTGGGGGAACTTTCATTCCTCACTACCAGGAGCTGAATAAAGAGCATGAAATCCACACTCGACTCCGAGTATATTTCAGATTAATAAATCTGTAGCTGAAGTATGACTTCACAAGCCTCACGCCTATTCTGTGTGCGCAGTACACTCTGCTAATAGTGTGCCTTGGCTTTTGAAGTCCAGGTCGCTGATTTACTTCGGAGCACAGACTGATGGAAGGAGACGTCCGAGCTGGGGCTTGCCAGCTGGCCTCCCAGCCCTCTGCATGTCGACATAGATGAGCCTCTGCTGTGATCTAGCATGACTTCTTATGCTCTTTACATTATTTCAACCAATTGTAACAAGCAAAGTCTTCAGGATTGGGGATTGACCTGACTTGGAGGGGATTCCATTGGATCCACAGCCAGTCAAAGACTTGATTGAGAGTTGGCCAAGGCCTAGTATGCCCTACAGAGTGAAACCAGGCAGGCAAAGTGAACTTTATATATTACCAGTGGAGGCCTGAAGGTTCCTTGATAGGAGCCAGCACCAACCACTAACAAGCTCGAGTTAAAGATATCAGACCACTTTTTCAGCTTTTTGCTTTCCATTTCACTCCTACATACTGGTATATTTTGGATATTTTCCATGAAACAGATAAATTGTTGACACTGGTCCATCCAAAAGGATATGACATGGTTAGGGAGCAGGGCAGGGCAGACAAGCGAGGAAGCACTGGGCAGTCTCTGGTGCTGAGGCCCACCTGAAAGTGGCTCAAGATCCACTAAGGAAACACCAAATGATCAATCCCAACCACAAGCAAGCAATCAGTTATGCACAGGGCAGAGTCTTACCTTTCTTTAGACAAGGAAATCTGAACAATTTAACTAATCCAAAGTCGTCTCCAGTCACCAGAACAGCATTATTGTAATTTCCATCCACAGAGTTGATGTCTGTAACGTTGCTATACTTTGGCCAGATCCCGTTCACTTCTGATCCCATCACACACGTCCAGGAAGCCCAGTGAATCCCTTTGATTTCATCTTTGCTTGTTAAATGCTTTCCAGCTGAAATGAAATCAGGTTAATAAGCTGTTTAACCATTTGCGTTTCAGAAGAAGTAACGGAACGGAAATTTCTACCTCGGCGGCTTTCAAATTTCCTGTTTTAAGGGATTAGTTCCATATCAACCTGCCTGCTAAGGATTTCCTCCATGTCAGCTGTGGGACGACCACAGTTTATTGGTAAATTTTCATGTGCAGAAGGTCACAGGTTCAATCCCTGGTACCTCCAGGTATGTATGGATATTTCACTACCAGTTTCCTGAGAATCTTGTCATCAGTTTGGTTTCGATTGTACACAATTAATTTCGGCTTCTATTCTTTTTCTTTCTTTTTTTTTCAATTTTTTCATTCATTTCATTCATTAATTTTAATTCATTTTATAACACAACTAAACAACACAAACAGAAAAACAAACAATACGAACAAATTCTTGTCTTATCCTTATTTTTTCTAAACATTGTTAGATGAGCTTCCCCAAGTCCCCCATCTGATTTTCATTTTACCTCATCTTTAGCAGTTTACATATATCATTATTTTTAACCATTTTTATCACGCTTACTTTTACCAAAAAAATCTTCACATGTTATCGCTTACAAATAATACTATTTTAAAATACACTTCTAACCCTATAGCCGATATCCACTTCCAAGGCTATTCTAGACTTTAAATATTAACATATTTTTTCACATATTCTTTAAACTTCTTCCAATCTTCTTCCACTGTCTCTTCTGTTCTTGGGCACTCGCCATCATCACTGGCCGCTCAAAAAGTAGGGCCGGCTGTAGCAGCAGTACCGGACTCCTTGCCTTGCCTGATCGCAAAAATGCGCCACAACTCCTTTGTTTATATTATCACTGTAAGCCTAGGGTTTACAAATCTCATAACATCACTGTTGTTTCAGAAGAAGTGGCGCTCATCTGAGCTGCCTGCTGTCGCCAGAAAGCTCTCCTCTGGAAAAGTGCAGAGAGATGGAGTCTGGCTTCCACGCTCAATAGGAGTGATCTCTGAAACCACTCTAAACTTCCTGCTCACTAGCTGGACATGTACCGTATTTTTTGCTCTATAAGACTCACTTTTTCCCTCCTAAAAAGCAAGGGGAAATGTGTGTGCGTCTTATGGAGCGAATGCAGGCTGCGCAGCTATCCCAGAAGTCAGAACAGCAAGAGGGATCGCTGCTTTCACTGCGCTGCGATCCCTCTTGCTGTTCTGGCTTCTGAGATTCAGAATATTTTTTTTCTTGTTTTCCTCCTCCAAAAACTAGGTGCGTCTTGTGGTCTGGTGCGTCTTATAGAGCGAAAAATACGGTGTGTGTGTGTGTGTGTGTGTGTGTACATTAAAATAAACACATATATTTAGAATGAGCAAGCCACCCCTCGCCACCCCCTGTGGGCACCCAGGCAACCCTTCCCTATTTTTTGAAGACTTTTCAAAAGACGCCCCCCTCCCAAAGTCTGACTCTAACCTGCATGCATTTTGGACCCATTTTGCAGCCACTTCAAAACGATCCCAAATGAGCACTGTGCGGGCTCAGAAGCCATGGAATATAGAATGATGGCTGGAGAATAAAAATAGAGGAAGGGAAGGAACAGTGCAATGCTCTACTTGGAGGAAATGGCTGAAATGGAACTCTGGGCAGGGGCACTCACTTTGGCAGCTAGGCTATACTGCAACATTTTGTTGCAGATTCCACTGTGTTATTATTTGTTTGCTTGTTTTATTAATTCCAAGGTGACCTGATTATAGTTTCAGGTTCTACTACATGGAAGATGACGACAATGTTGATGATTTAGAAACCTTAGTTTTGGAGTTGTTCTAAATTCTGATAATGGCTACTCCATTATCCTTTCTGCTGCATCAGGTCAAATCCTAGACCTTTCCCACCAGTTCCAGAATAATTGTTAATGAAAGGAATTTGGAGATTTTCTCCAAAAAAGGTTTCTGTTACATATTTTATCACATTTCTTTCCTGAATCAACACATAATGACTTCAATTTGAGCACAACCTTGGACGTAATTCAGGTGGGGTAGTAAATCTGACTAGGATGAGGAAAAGTCGGGTTCAAACCCCTGCTCAGCAGTGAAGTTCACCGTGTGTGTGACAAATCACAGATGTGAAAATGTGGAAAACTTAACACTTGAAAAAGAGAAACTGACTAGAAACTGAAGCTGACAGATTTGCCTTTCCCTGGTATCAATCAGCCTTTATACCTGTGAAATTTAAAATTGCACAGTTCTATTCAAAGGTAAAGGGAACCCTGACCATTAGGTCCAGTCGTGACCGACTCTGGGGTTGCGGCGCTCATCTCGCTTTATTGGCCGAGGGAGCCGGCGTACAGCTTCCAGGTCATGTGGTCAGCATAACTAAGCCGCTTCTGGCGAACCAGAGCAGCGCACAGAAACACCGTTTACCTTCCCGCTGGAGCGGTACCTATTTATCTACTTGCACTTTGATGTGCTTTCGAACTGCTAGGTTGGCAGGAGCAGGGACCGAGCAACGGGAGCTCACCCCGTCACGGGGATTCAAACAACCGACCTTCTGATTGGCAAGCCCTAGGCTCTGTGGTTTAACCCACAGCGCCACTCGCATCCCTCTACAGTTCTATTTACAGGTATTTAAAAACAAATGCAAATCTAAAGGAGAGGTCTTACATGGCATCCTGTAGAAGAAGCGTTCTCCCGCACCATCATTAGTTTGCAAGAATTTGCTGTCCAGAGACCAGTCAATATGAGTAATAAAGCTAGAAGACTTGTTGCATTCTCCAGTCTTTTTGTACCGTTGAGCAACTGCATAGATATCCACGGGGCCATCATTGGAACCCACTGCAAGATAGCAGCCATCTGGCGAAAACTTCATTTCATGAATTACTTCTTTCCGGTCTTTGATATGAACTACCTCTGTCATATCTCTGCAAAGGGGTGGAAATGTCAACAGCAGGCCTGAAGATGCAAAATGTTAAAACCAAAACCAAGCCTACGCCACCTCAAAAGTCCTGACTTATTTATTACTTTGATTAAAAAGAGCCCACCTTTCAGTTCCCAAAATGTTAAAAAATAAATAAACAGGTATAATTAAAACAGAGGTTTTGTTTCACTGGAGCCTGCAGGCAGAACAGTGTGCACTGGGTTGCAGCCTTAGAAGAAGTGCACAGTGTCAGTAAGCCAAAACAGATTATTACCAGCAGGTATCAGAGAATGTGAACTTATTTGGGGCATTTTGTACATTGTCCGGTTAATAAATAAGCGCAGCCTCCAACCATACTTCCTATATTACTTGGGTAACACTCACAATTCATAGCCAGAGAATATGTACATTGACAAGCTAATAATGTGCACAGTATATTATTAAGTGTTCTGTTTTGTGCACTGTTCAACATCATTTGGACACTATGCATGGTAACTGAAGAATGTGCAAAATCTCCTCTTCACACTGTCCATTCATGTACATTCCCAATGTTTTCATCTCCAACAAACTCAAATTAACCCCCACTTACACAAAATTAGCCCAATTCAGAAAGGCCCATTTCAGTTCAATCAATGATAGTGTATCAGGCTGAAAGCAAGCCTTTTGCTGATTTGCTGTCTCTTCAGCTCTCGTCTTTCTTGCTCAGCTCATGTGCCCAGCTTTAAAGACAATATTATGGTATGTTAAAAATATTCCCCATGCTGTCTGAACTGGGAAACTGTTGTTTAAGGGCTGCTTAAAAATCAGGTTATTAAACTAGGATCTGGTTACTGGAGAAAGGGAGTGGCAAGGAAGCGAGAGGAAAACTTGTGGTTACACACCTCGTTCTCAGGCAAACAAACCATGGCTTATCAGAAAATTATGAGCTGGGCTATGGACTTGTTATAGAATGGTGCAAGTGGCACCCACAATTTCAGATTTGGTCCGAGTTTTTAGAACATGCTTGCTTTCGTTAGATTAATTTTCTTTTTCTCCTACCTTACTCTCAGAACAATGAAGGAACCATCCTTCATTCCCAGTGCCAGCTGAGATCCATCAGGGCTGAAAGATACACTTCGCACAGCTTCTTCCATATTGCAACGAGCAATCAAGGCGTGGTCAGCAAGGCTCCATAACCTGAGCAAGAACGAAAAGGACCAGAGAAAACTTATCACTGCAGAATATGCTAGTTATTTTTACTTGGCAGCAGAAACTTTTGTCCAGATTCTACTCGCTGCTCTCACTTCCTATTACACTAGCCTATTCCCAAATGATGAAAACCTGCATTTTTAATTGTATCATTAACACATTCACAAAAAACCCTCAATAATCACTTGGGTACTACAAGTATAATATAGGTGTTTGAGACGTTGGAGGGGTTTTGTGCACTTTTGGACGGTGGCTTCTAACCTTAAAGGTAAAGGGACCCCTGACCATTAGGTCCAGTAGCAGACGACTCTGGGGTTGTGGCGCTCATCTCGCTTTATTAGCTGAAGGAGCCGGCATACAGCTTCCGGGTCATGTGGCCAGCATGACTAAGCCGCTTCTGGCGAACCAGAGCTGCGCACAGAAACGCCATTTACCTTCCCGCCGGAGCGGTACCTACTTATCTACTTGCACTTTGACGTGCTTTTGAACTGCTAGGTTGGCAGGGGCAGGGACCAAGCAACAGGAGCTCACCCCGTTGTGGGGATTCAAACCGCTGACCTTCTGATCGGCAAGTCCTAGGCTCTGTGGTTTAACCCACAGCGTCACCCACGTCCCTAATCTTAATGATTGGTAATAGGTTACTGAGTTGTTTAAGCTACCATTTCCCAGGGCTTCCTTCTGCAGAGCTCTGGAATGCCTATCAGTAGGTGAGCTGCAAGATTTAATTGCATTAGGAACTGGATAGGAAACAGAGTGTGTGCTTACTCCAGAAGCCTCAGGCCTGCAGGATAGAAAGTAGGAACACTCTCATGGTCCATGGATTGTATCCAACAAAGTCATCTTTTTGGTGCAAAGAATTCTGGCTGCACAACAGGACTTCCTCTCCTTTTCCCACATGCCCCATTCAGGGTTGGAAGAAACCCTGGACAAAGTCAAGCCTGTGTGTATGGAGATCTAGATCCATGGTGAGAGAGAAGTGGGAGAAGTCCTGATGTACAAGCAGAAGTCCTTGGGCTAATGGGATGGTTTTCCTGGGTGCAACCCCATGCTGATGGAGAATAGCAAACGTACTGTTCTGTACTGAGTTGAATAGGATCCAAAATGCAGCAGTCTGATTGGTCCTAGAACAATAGGATTCAGAATGCAGCTGTCTGATTGGTCCTAGAACAATGCAGCAGTATGATTGGTCCGCAGGAGCCACCCAATCCAGCTCCAGGTGGAAGTGAATCCGCAACCTGATTGGCCTACAGGAGAATCCCGGAATTAGCCAATCACGTGCAGCCCATTGTGTAAATAATGTATATAAAAGCAGATATTTTGGGGGAACTTTCATTCCTCACCACTATGAGCTGAATAAAGAGCATGAAATCCATTCTCGACTCCGAGTATATTTCAGTACGCTTGCTGCTTCCTTGTCCTGAGTGATGAAGTCATTTGCCCTGTGTTTGTCTGTGTGTGTGTGTGTGTGTGTGTTGTAAATCGCTTTGAATTAACTTGGCTTGTTTGTTCTTAAAGTGACCAATAAATTTAAAAATAAATGAAATGACGGTGGGGCTTACCCAATTGGCAACAATATATTTTTAACAAGATATGATGATGGGGGCCATGTAAAAGGTAAAAGTACTGCTGGGACAGAGCAGCAGGAGTTCACCCCGTTGCACGGATTCGAACTGCTGACCTTCTGATCAGCAAGCTGCAGAGGCTCAGTGGTTTATACCATAGCGCCACCCGCTCCCACTTGGGGGTCATGTATACACCACATTACCTCCAGCAAAACAAAGCAGAACTATGGTCTGTCTCCTGATTGAGTCTTCCACACCCAGAACCAACAGAGGGCCTTCTCGGTAGTGGCGCCTGCCCTATGGAACGCCCTCCCATCAGATGTCAAAGAGATAAACAACTACCTGACATTTAGAAGACATCTGAAGGCAGCCCTGTTCAGGGAAGTTTTTAATGTGTGGCATTTTAATGTATTTTAATCTTTGTTGGAAGCCGTCCAGAGTGTCTGGGGAAACCCAGCCAGATGGGCGGGGTATAAATAATAAATTATTATTATTATATTATCTACATTACACCAAAGCCCCCAGAACATTGCAACAGGAACACTGGCAGCTGCTTGTGCCAAGTTAAGGCTATTTGTCCACCTAGACCAGTGTTATCTGCTCTCATTGGTAGTAGCTGCGTAGGGTTTGCAGGAAAAAATATTTTCCCTTGCCTGCTACCTAATCGTGTTAAATGGAAATGCCAGGAACTTAATGTGGGCCCTTCTGCATGCAGAGCATGTGCTCAGCCACCCAGCTATGTTCCAACCCCAGTACACTGACAAATCTTTCCACCAGGAGCAAACACCAGTTTCTGCTAAAGTAAAAAATAAAATGAAAATGCAATATGCAAATGATGCCACAAAGCATATGCAAGGCATGAATCAGAAAATCACAGACATTTCAACATGTTCAGCACATCAAGAATAGTTAGTATCAGCTGCTCAGAATGGTAAAAATGAGAGGGAAAGACCCGTCTCCTAGGAAACTGGCTTCCTCGGCTTTTCCCGTGAATTACAGAATTACCCTGACATCAAACTGAAGCGATACAGGAATGTACTAAGTCAACTAGGGGGATCAAGTTTAATGCAGGAGTTCGTCAAAAGGGTTTGGTTTCATTAGGGGGGGAAGCATGGCAGAATTTGACAAATGTGACCCTGCCCTTATATTAACAACTATGCTCCAGACCAGGCACCCCCAACCTGCGGCCCTCCAGATGTTTTGGCCTACAACTCCCATGATCCCTAGCTAGCAGGACCAGTGGTCAGGGATGATGGGAATTGTAGTCCAAAACATCTGGAGGGCCGAAGGTTGGGGATGCCTGCTCAAGTCGGTTTCTTCAGATCAACCGTCTGGAAATGCAAGGAATATAGGAGAAGAAGAAAGGTTCCATATTTAAACGTTTAGAAAAATTAGGAAGGAGCATAGGTAGCTGCCTTTTAACAAGTCAGACTACTAGTCCATCTTGTTCAATGTTGTCTACGCTGACTGGCGGTGGCTGTCCAGGGTTTCAGACAGGGGTCTCTCCCAGCCCTAATGTCACAGAGCGTGCTGGTCAGTAAATCACACAGTTCCAAGTTGGGAGTTAATTCTTTATTAGCAAAAACACAATCTTCACAGACTTGGCTGTAGTGATCAGGTGGGATTGCTATGAGGAATTATAACAAATATAGAGTAAGCCATCTGTGTCAGCAATGAAAGCATTGCGTTGACTGGGTTTAAACTATTTTGATATGATTCTTGATCAGTCCACACCTCTGCATCCCTGTTCCATTTCTCTTTCTTGACCAGTCACGTACACTGCCAGTTGCCCAGGCAGGCATCCTGGGTCATCAAAGACAGTGGGCAGTTTCTTTGATGTAGCTTTTCTGATATGTTAATCTTAGGATGTTAATCTTAGGGCCAGGAAACAGGTTTCACATAAAGGTGATAATGATCGCTGTCCTCCTGGCCATCCTTCTTATCATGTATATTGTTTGTTTATGACCTCAGGGGTTGCCAAATAGCTCCTTTGCTGTTCTGTTTTGTTTACCCCAGAAATATGTGTGCTTAATTAGTTTTGGTAGTTTAACTTTGTCCCCACGTGGGGTTTGTTGAAATGCTCAGAAGAAATCTGATTGGTTCTTATGAACACTCTGTAAAAAGTTCTTTTGTGAATAAAACGACCTGGGCCAGAGGGTGGAGACAGATTATTATACGTACCCTTCCCACAGTCTTGCTGGTTCAAGCCTCTGTGTGTATTCTTATTAATCAGAGTTCAATCCTTCCTTTACTTTGTGAACGCCTCATTGGCTGAGTGTCAGGTCTAATGAGCCCAGCAGCAGCGTTCTCTGTGGGTCTTACTCCATGAAATCAGTTGCTGAGACTAAATGTCCCCGGCTCCCCATAGCTGTTTTTGTGTTGTCCTGTGAACCACCCTGAGGCCTGCAGGTATACGGCAGCATGCAAATGAAGAAGAAGTCGTTGTCTCCTCCTTTCCAGGGCTTTCCCCAAACAATTGGAGACTGTGCATGCGTGCAGCTATTCTCTCCTCTGCCCCTTTCATGCCTCTTCTGGGTCAGGGAGACAAGGGGGGAGGGGAGACACAGATCCATGCTCTTTTCTAAGCAGAAAGTTGCCAAAAGCTAGGACTGCTTGAAATCTAGCAGCTGCTCGCACTTCTCAGAAAGTCTGCTTCAGCTTCCTTTGGAAGCTCTGTAATTCACTTGTCGAAAACCCTGACTTCTGCAATCCTTAACCAGTCCAAAGAATTGTGTTTTCTTGGAACTACTCCAGCTTATTCTATCAGACACCTGGCCACCGAGTTCATTTACTAGAAACTTATGCTGGCTGCTGCATCCCCCCGCACCCAAAAAATTGGTTACTTAGCAACCACCTCACCAGTAAATTAAGGATCTCATAAGCTTTACTGGTGTTTCGGAACAATTAATGCTTGAGCCTTCCTCTGAGAAAAATTTAGCAGAACAGGAATAGTTTTCAGAGCCATAGTTCAGTGGTGAAGCATCTGCTTTGATTGCACGTCCTCTTTCATGATGCAAATTTGTGTGTGTGTACAGAAACCTCTGACTTTTACAGGGCTTGAGGCATACATTGCTCTACAGTGGTACCTCGGGTTAAGGACTTAATTTATTCCGTTACAATTTTAGTATATGTGCTGCCGAAGCGAGCACAGTACTTAATTCATTCCAGAGGTCTGTACTTCACCTGAAACTGTTCTTAACCTGAAGCACCACTTTAGCTAATGGGGCCTCCTGCTGCTACTACGCCGCCGGAGCCCGATTTCTGTTCTCATCCTGAAGCAGAGTTCTTAACCTGAAGCACTATTTCTGGGTTAGCAGAGTCTGTAACCTGAAGCGTATGTAACCTGAAGTGTATGTAACCCGAGGTACCACTGTACTTACTTTGTGTCTCTGGGCCCACTCCCCACTGGTGCGTCCCTCCCTGGGATGTTTACCAACAAGGAAATGCCCCCATCCCCATTTTAAAGCATGGCAGCTCCCCAGAATGTATGTGGCGACAGTCCATAGGCCATCTTCTTACACTCTTGCCTTACCGCACGGATCGATCATCGCTGCCGGTAACAACTAACGGTTTCTTGGGATGCACCGCCAGGGCCCAGAGCTCTCCTTCGCAGTGACCTTGCATTATGAGCATGGGCTTGTCCCTTTCTCTCACGATGACCTCAAATATTTCGCTGTCCTGCGTCCCTGCTAAAAGCCGGTCTGCTTTCCAGCACACACTTCGGATGGACAAACCTGAGAGAGGACAGAATAGCCTTAGAATGACGACGGCTGATAGGTGAGGATATTAATAGAATCATAGAATCATAGAGTTGGAATAGACCACAAGGGCCATCGAGTCCAACCCCCTGCCAAGCAGGAAACACCATCAGAGCACTCCTGACATATGGTTGTCAAGCCTCTGCTTAAAGACCTCCAAAGAAGGAGACTCCACCACACTCCTTGGCAGCAAATTCCACTGTCGAACAGCTCTTACTGTCAGGAAGTTCTTCCTAATGTTTAGGTGGAATCTTCTTTCTTGTAGTTTGGATCCGTGCTCCGTGTCCGCTTCTCTGGAGCAGCAGAAAACAACCTTTCTCCCTCCTCTATATGACATCCTTTTATATATTTGAACATGGCTATCATATCACCCCTTAACCTCCTCTTCTCCAGGCTAAACATGCCCAGCTCCCTTAGCCAAGATGTTATAGACAAGATGTTAAATTGTTTTTATATGCAACAACAGCAGCAAGAGTATTGTTAGCCCAGAAATGGAAGCAAGAAGAAATTCTGACGAAAGAAGAATGGCAGACAAAATTAATGGACTACGCAGAATTGGATAAGATGACAGGAAGGATTCGAAACCTGCGGGACCAGAGATTCACAGAAGATTGGAAGAAATATACGAACTATTTGAAGAGCGACTATAATCAACAAATGATGCTGGTAGTACTACAAGAAGTTCTGTAAGGAGAAATAAATGAAACATTGCAAAATAGAGAAAGATTAGAGATATTCATTATCAGATTTAAATGTAATAGTGAAAGTAAGAAATGTATATTAAGTGATTAGATTGGAAAATTTTCAGATGTGATTGATGGAAGTCAAAAAAGATTGTATAAGATGTAAAAGTATGTTTAATTATTGTTGAAAATGATATGTTAAAAAACTAATAAAATTATTTTATATATATATATATATATATATATATATATATAATGCATATATATGCTTTCGTAGATTTTCACGGGTACAGGAATGCAGGTTTTGGTGTCCTCGGGTGTCTTCCCGTGTAAAAGTTGGGGTGTCTAGGCGACGTTTCGACGAGGTCTCACTCGTCATCTTCAGGCTGGTGCTTTCGGCTTCTTGTTACTGGAACAATGCATATATATATACACACACACACACACACACACACACACCACACACACACTACATTATATATATATAATGACGATAGCTGGCTATCAATCTGTTTCATAGAGTTGAAAGGGACCCTCTGGCCCACAGTCATCCCTGGGTGGGCTCAAACCACCAACCTTCTGGTCAACAGCACGACACACTGATCCACTGTGCCGTGATCCAGTGAAAGTTAAGCCCTTAAGTTAGGGTTGCCTCAAACTCAGGATGAAAGGGGAAAACGTGCTAAGAGGAAGGCACACTTGGCAAACCCTCACCATGATCAACTCCTGCCTAGAAACCTATGTCCCCATTGTGGAAGAACACGTGGATCCAGAATTGCCCTCCACAGTCACTTACGGACTCACTGTTAAGACCGTGTTCATAGAAGACAATCTTACTTGACTACAAGTGATTGCCAAAGAAGAAGATTCTGAAGAGCCTATAAGAGCATGTTATGACGACTCTCATTTTAAATATTTCTACTATATGTAGGCTATAGAAGCTGTGATATATTGCTGAGGGTGGGCAGGAGAAGAGAAGATGAAAGCAAGTCTTCAACCACCAATTAGGCCTATGTCTCATCCAGAAATTATAGCCAGAGACATTTTGGCAAATTAAAAAAATCCATCCAGACAGAAATTTTACCCCTGAAAGAAAGGATGTGTCCTGGAAAAAGAGGACATGTGGCAACCCTACTTAAGTTGCACTGTTTCCTGTGGGTGTTCAAAATGTCCACTGAAAGCAGCGAGACTTAAAAGCACTCAGCCCTGGTTAACTTCTGCCTGCAGTGGGCCAGTGCTCCTTCAGTTGGTACTCAGTGCAGCTCATAACACTACAAGGAATAGGAATACAGGTAACTAGCAGCTCACGCAAGGTTTTGGTTAATGGGAGTCCATGCATAATAATGTAAAGCCATGATTTCTAGGCACGGGTCTGAGCAGACTTCTGTTTGCCCCACTGCTTCCCCCCCAGGGAAACCCTCTCTTTACTGCTGAATCAGAGCAAACATCAATCCGTGGAAAATCTGATGGACATTTGCTCTGATTCAGCAGTAAATAAGAGAGTTTTCCTGTGGGGATGCAGCAGGGCAAACGGTAGAAAGGACAAGCTCACAGCTGCCAAGTCCAGTGCTGTCTATCAAAGATGAAAGGCAGCTCACCTGGGGCTTGTTAAGGCCTGCCTGCTAGGGTCTGCAAAAAAAAGGGCCCAGGAGGCCAGAAAATACCAATATGCCATTGGTGTACTACATATCTCTCCATGGGCCACAAGGTGGGAAGACCTCATTTCGGATGCTGATTTTCTGATTCGGCACACACACATTTTAATTTTTTTTTAGGTAACTGCTGACACCTGTTCACAAAACACCATTCTTTCCATTCTTCAGCTCGTGTAGTAGCCAAAGGTTAATTTATGTAAATGCACACGCCGTTCTTTATTAAGCACTCTTAATTGAGAGGTATTTTATCTGATACGAATCAGATATCGGTCCTTTTCTCTCTCCAGTTTACCATCACTGACTATGTTAACAAAGTGCATATGGATGAACAGTACCGAACAGTTAATTCTCGCTGCTGGCAGGCTAGCAATCTGTTTCATCAGATAAAGCTCTCTTCTACTGTACAATAAGCAGATGTGCCCTGCTTCCAAAAATACGAAAACAAAACTGACTTTAATCTCATTCTTCGATCAAACTACAGGTTCGCTATGTTTCATGGGGATTAAGTCACTACATGGCATGGTCTAATATTAATTCCTGGTTCAGACTCTGAAAAATCTTTCACATATGAAGAGCCTGGCTAGTTCAGCCTAAGGGTCTAATTCAGCCCAGCATCCTGCTTCTATAATGGCCAACCAGATGCTTCCAGGAAGCCCACAAGCTGGTCATGAATGCAAGACCTAGAATCATAGAATCATAGAGTTGGAAGAGACCACAAGGGCCATCGAGTCCAACCCCCTGCCAAGCAGGAAACACCATCAGAGCACTCCTGACATATGGTTGTCAAGCCTCTGCTTAAAGACCTCCAAAGAAGGAGACTCCACCACACTCCTTGGCAGCAAATTCCACTGTCGAACAGCTCTTACTGTCAGGAAGTTCTTCCTAATGTTTAGGTGGAATCTTCTTTCTTGTAGTTTGGATCCATTGCTCCGTGTCGGCTTCTCTGGAGCAGCAGAAAACAACCTTTCTCCCTCCTCTATGATATTTGAACATGGCTATCATATCACCCCTTAACCTCCTCTTCTCCAGGCTAAACATGCCCATGACCTGTCTCCCATTCCTCAAGCAAGGCATGAAGGTTCCAGCTTTCTCTTGTTAACCCAGAATTATGTGCTCAGATTGTTTTCAGGAGGGGTTCACTCCCTCTAAAGATGTGGTCTCACAACTCAGAACTGATCCTGGGCACTACCCTGTGAAGGTGCCACACACTTCTGTGTAGACAGAGTTTCCCACCTTTAGGGGCGGCCCCTATTCTGGGTCACCACCCTCCTGAACTTCCAAGGGTGGGAGAATTACCACGAGCGCCTTCCCTGCTGATCTTAATACCCAAGAGCTTCTGCGCTCTCAGATGTTTGGAGTCGAAGGCATTTAGGGCTTTAAACACTAGCGTGAACATCTTAAATTGCACCTGGAAATGAACAGGCAGCCAAAGCAGTTGGAAGAGAAGTTACATGAGTTCTAAAGCTAACCCTAGTCAATAATGTGGCCACTGCATTTTGAACCAGTTGACGTTGCCAAGTCGTCTTCAAGAATAGCCACACTTAGAGCTCATGAAGCATCTTGGTCAAGTCATTTCTGCCCAAAAGTGGCTATATACCTGGCAAATCAGAGGGGGCTGGAAACAGGAACTCCTCACCACTGCTTTGCCCTCCAGTGACAATGCTGGACACGGGTGGCGCTGTGGGTTAAAGCCTCAGCGCCTAGGACTTGCCGATCAAAAGGTCGGCGGTTCGAATCCCCGCGGCGGGGTGCGCTCCCGTTGTTCAGTCCCAGCACCTGCCAACCTAGCAGTTCGAAAGCACTCCTGGGTGCAAGTAGATAAATAGGGACCACTTACCAGTGGGAAGGTAAACGGCGTTCCGTGTGCTGCGCTGGCTCGCCAGAGGCAGCTTGTCACGCTGGCCACGTGACCCAGAAGTGTCTGCGGACAGCGCTGGCCCCCAGCCTCTTGAGTCAGATGAGCGCACAACCCTAGAGTCTGTCAAGACTGGCCCGTACGGGCAGGGGTACCTTTACCTTTACCTGACAATGCTGGATGCTGGAGTATCCGCAAAATATGAAGCAGCTTCTTCTAAGAGAGTGCAACCCTGACCAGAACAGGTTGTCTCCAAACCTCTTGGGCTTGAGGACTTGGAACACAAAACTTTTCCGGTGTTTTCAGGACATTTGCATAGGCACTTACACAGACATTCCCGCCAGAGCGGTACCTATTCACCTACTTGCACTTTTTGTGCTTTCGAACTGCTAGGTTGGCAGGAGCAGGGACCAAGCAAAGGGAGCTCACCCCGTCGTGGGGATTCAAACCACTGACCTTCTGATCGGCAAGTCCTAGGCTCTGTGGTTTAACCCTATAAAGTGGTATAAAAATTTATAAATAGATAAATAAAGCCTGCTGGATGTTGTTTGCACCTCCCAAACCTCACAGGTGCATGTCCAAAGGGAGCACATGATTTCCGCCCCCCCCCCAATGGATACAAAAGGAGCCAAAGTGCATCTGCACAATTCTCTGCAAGTGGAATTCTGTCTCAATGAGCCAATTAGTATTAATAGTTTATACCTCTACATCTGTGTGCTGCAATTTTCTTTGCCCTTGTGTGCTTCTCTCCAAATGTTCTCTACGCAGAATCAATGGCTAATAAATGACATTAATTTGATGAACCCCTAATGAGATCCCCCCCCTTAAGCTAAAAAGATTTTAACTTCCTTCAAGGCTGGAATGCGTTCTAGACCCCCTGTGAGAAACTGGCATGCCTTTACAAGCAGCACATTAGGGGTAAATGGCATTTATAAATAAATGATGGCATCCTACTGCTGCCTATCATTCTGAAGGGAAGATTTTTGCCCCTCCATAATTGTGGTGACCGTCGCTCTCCTGACAATTGTAAAAGGATACGGTCATACCTCGGGATAAATACGCTTCAGGTTGAGCGCTTTCGGGTTGCACTCCGCGGCGACCCGGAAGTAACGGAGCACGTTACTTCCGGGTTTCGCCGCTCGCGCATGCGCAGACGGTAAAAATGACGTCACGTGCATGCGCGGAAGCTGCGAAACATGACCCGTGCAGACGCGTCTTACGTTATGTTCAGGAAGCGAACAGGGCTCCAAAACGGAACCCGTTCGCATCCCAAGGTACCACTGTTTATGGAAACTGGAATTGCTCTAAAACAAAAGGATAGTCCACATGTTTTTATGTGATTCTTACCCTAGAAATTAGCTTTGTCATTCCCCACTCTCTCATTCTCTTTCTTACACACACAAGCACATATGTAAATACAGGTATATATGTGGACACACCCACACACACGTGTTTGTGTAGGAATGAAATACATATGGCATCACTTTTCCTGAAACATTTTCTGCACCCACCCCTATGAGCTATACCCCCAAATGTGCTTGGTTTTCCTCAGTTAAACTGATTCAGCCGGGCTTTAAGACTTGGAGTTACTGGGAATTAACAAAGTTTTCTTCCTTAAATAAGGGCTGGAAAGAAGCTAGAAAATATATTATCTGTTACACTGCTTTTGACCTTGTAGGGTCTTCAGACAAAATACCGGTTGTAGGAATCTTTTGCAATGTTTCAAAGCACAACACAACATCCTCACTCTGTCCATGCCAACAAATACATCTTTTAATAAATCTGGGCTGAGTTCAAGTGACTCATCCAAATTTACTATGGGGCGTTTCTTATTGATATATTCATAGGTTCCTTGAAGCACCACAGGAATGACCAAGTCAGCGTCTTCTGAAGAAAAAATCACCCACACAGCCATTTATTCAAACATAACCTTATACATGCACCTATGCAATATTCGACTGTCTACAGATCCTGCAGAATTTGCTTATTAGCTAAAGAACAAGCCTTATTTTGAAAAACAAAAACAAATAAATGATGAAAACGCCCCTCTGATCCCAAATATATTCATCTGAGTCTGTCTTCTTAGCAGCGGCAGAGCAAGCCAATCAGGCGCCTGGGGTGGCACGCGTGCCCTGTGCCCAAGGGCAGGGCCAGCCGCCGTGGGGGATGGGGGCAGCCACCCATGGGGTGGGGCCAGCCAGAGCAGGAAAGCTCTGCGGGGCCTCAGAGGAGTCTGCCTGCCTCCTCCCACTCAGCCACCCTACAGCTGAGGGGGAGGCAGTGGGTGGACTGTTTGGGCACCACAGAGCCTGTGCTCGCCTAAGCCACCATGTCTCTGCCAAGCCAGGAGAGACGCGTGGCTCAGGCACACTGCATGCACCGCGGTGAGTGCCGCCCGGCATTTTGTCACCCCCCCTCAGTGGTGACACCTAGGGCGGACCACCCCCACCGCACCGCCCTTCCTCCACCCCTGCTTCTAAGGTCAATTAATTAGTTGGAGGTTCTCGAGAAAATGGTTTCCTCGCTTAGGTCTCTGGGCGAAAACTGGCCTTTGTGAGAAGAGGATACTGTTGAGATACTGCTGGGAAGACGGGGGCATCAGGGAGGCCCCCAGCTGGCTCCGGACAATCACCGGTCTCCCGTGGAACAGCATCAGTCAGTCAGGGACACGAGCCTGTTCCAAGACCCGTGCACACTCTGTCAGCAGAGTGTAGAAATCATCCACAACGGAAGAGGAAGACAGAGAGAGCCTATTTACAGCATTTATTCAGCATAGTTTGGGAACAAAGGAAAACATGACTGCTTGCCTTCGTGTCCAGCAAAACAGCGCTAATACAAAAGCAACATAGAACGGAAGTTCCCAGCAGACTGTGCTAGGAGTAAACAGGCATGTGATACATAAACGTCATGCCTATACCCTTTTAAGGTGGAATGGAACTATATCCTGACAGATACATTACAGTAACTAGGATGAGATCATTGGGTTGAAGTGCCTGTGTTATCTCGTGCTACGGTGCTTCAAAGCCAAACTGATCTCAGCTGTCTGGGAGCACACATATATTCAAGTGCTAGAAGAGTCTAGATTGTACACCTGATTGGCTTAGGGGATTCGCCCCACTTGCAATGCATTGTACTATGAAGCTAGCTTGCTATTGTCCCTCAATCTCCATTTCATCTCTGCTGTGTTTCCATGTTGCCTTCTGTGCTTTTGTACCTATTTCTTTGCACCACCGGAGAGATCCTATTGTCTGTGACTTCTGATATCTCTGTTATGTGGAATGTATAGAAGGATAAGGGTTAGGAAGATAGCTTTTGTAACTTTATTCTGATTTGTGATTCCCAGCTATATCTCTTAATTGGCTGTGGCTATTTTTATCCCCATTATTTTGAGGTCCTCTTACACGCCGAGTACACAGGTGCTTCAACCTCGGAGAAATGTCAGTGCCCATTTCTATGGATTTACTGCTGTTAACACTGATGAAGCTCAAACTGTGTCTGCAAAGGAGGTCCTGCAGAGAAGTTATCCGGAGAAATAATTTAAAGGACAAACCACTAACTACAAAAATACAATGGCATAAATAGCATCAAAATCTCTTATTCACTATTTATAGAAGCATAAATGGGGCCACATTGCCATCATACTGGAGGTGGGTGACACTAAAACAAATGAATGGAGAAGATCTCTAGCATTTTCAGGTAGCAGGGGCAAGAAAAACTTTTTGTGTGTGACAGTACAATGGTAGAGCTATTAGGCAGGAATTTTATGCCAAGCATAATTTCGCACACATATTTCTGGAAGGAAGGTTCACTCCACTGAGATACGTGGGACTTACAACCTAAGAACTCTCTGGATCAGACTGGGATCCATCCAGTCAAGGGTCCTGTTTCCAGCTGGGCCCTTTCAGGGTACCCACAACTTAGAGCATCTTCACATGAGCACCTCAGTCTGTAACACTTGCTAGAAAAGAAGCCACTAGCCAGTGCTAGTCAAGTTGTTCACTAGGAGCTATCCATGGTCCTGCAACTTCTGTCCAGCCTTGACTCCTTTTCTGTGGGATCCAGCACTGGACCAGAATATGACATCATATCCCATAATACTCCCACACATAGCATTGCTAGATGCAATCACACACAGTGCTGCTGCTGCTGCTAAGTATTGTCCTGCACTGCCACAAGGTAATCCCACGAGGGGTTACCAACCATGGAGGAGACTCTACAAGAGAGCAGCTTTCTCTGGACTCCCTCAAAACTGACGCTGGCCCAGAAATACTGGGCTTGGTGGACAAATATTCTGACTTGCTATACGGCAGCTTCCTACATTGTCTGTTAAGGCAGTTTGAGTATCAGAGTAACACACACACATCACAATCTGCAATCCAAATGCTATACCCATTCATTTTGCCACCTCCAATTATTCTGTAGTACCACCCAACATGAAACGAAGGAATTGGTTGTGCTTCACTTGGGAAAGAGGTAGTGCCGTAAGCTACAATTGTGAAAACAAAGGCAAAATCTGAAGGGCAGATGTGCTAACTCTTGTATGTATTCCACCGCCTCCTCAAGATCACAGCAATAAGGATTAAATTCAAACTTGGAGGAAGAGAAAAAGAACAAAAATATTCATGTTTTGTATTGCACAAAATACATTACAAATAATTTCATAGAATCATAGAAACACAGAGTTGCGCAAAAAGTATTTTCATTACCTTTATAGCCTTGTTCATTTTCCCTGAGATCAATTTTAGTTATTGGCTTAAAAACAGTGTCCCACAGTCGAATGCAGCCATCTCTCCCACCGGTGGCAAAACCTTCTTCACATGCATACATGCTAAAAATGCCAGCCTGCGAATGAACAACATACATACTCGAACTGGATTTTTAACAAAAGGCATTTCAAAGCCCAAACCTGTTTGCAAGGGCTTAAATGTCATCACACTTAGGTTGGCTTCACATCAGCTTGTTTTTTCTATGAAACTCCCATTGTTCATATAAACCCAATGATTTGATGATTCCACCATATATCAGGGTCAGAGGCAGAACCTTTCCATAAGTGGGGGAGCGAAAAATGAACATGATCACGTTCATCATGTGATGGTCGCCAGGTGAACACCTCCCTTATATGATTTATAAGTCAGGACCTCCACACAGAAAACCTAACTTCTTTTTTCATTAACAAACAACAGCCTCATCCAGGGTTTGCCACCGTGGGACACCCAGATTTTGCTAGGTTCCTATTCCCAAAGGTCCCAGTCCTCCTGACCAGCGGTGAGTTGGATGATGGGTGATGGAAGTTGCTGCACTGAAGCACTCCCAAGTCATGAGTGGTGGTCAGGAAGTGGCATGATGCTCTCTCTGTAGCTTTTCACTTGCTGCGTTTCCTGGCAAAATCCTGTAAAATATGGGGCAACCTGCTCCTGGGAATTTTGGAGAAGTTTCACACACACACCTGCACAAAAAAAGCAGTTGGAAATGCGCCTCTTTTCACAGGGGGAGAAAGCTTTTGAGAACCAGAGGCAAAGGTAGGATTTCAGCCCAGTCTTAATTCAGAATATAAAACCTACTGGATTAAAGTAGCCCCCTTCCCGAAGGGCCTCTGTGGTGCTTCAGAGCGAATTCAGGGAAGATGCTTCGTTATTTTCACAAAACAGAACCGAGAAAGTAGAAGGCAACTTACACCGTGAGCTCCTTGAATCGTGCGGGCTAAGGTGAGCCCTTTCCAGACGTAGATGTCTCCATTTAAAGCACCAGAGTATGTGACGTCATCTTTTGCGCAGGACAAACAGAGGATAGTTTGCAAGTCTCCTGTTTTACCAAATATCCCTCTTTTGGCTGTCAAGGCATTTCCGCAAAGCGTCCAAAACTACAACGCAAAGTACAAAAAGGAGTCTGCGAGACTCATGATCTGAGATCATCCTAAAGGCAGAACATATCTCCACGTTGCTTGAGAACCTGGCAAGAGGCCCCAGTTGCTTCTGCTTACTTTATGCCGTGCATTTATGTGAATTATCAAGGTGGCCTACATGCATAAGCCACTCTGGGAGCCCATTCAGTTGAAGTGTGGGGTTTTAAAAATGCTTTGAACAAATAAACCCATTAAAATACATAAACACACACACAAAAAAACACGTATTAACACAACATAAAATCACATGGTAGAGATAAAAATCAGATTTAGACAATAGTGAAAGCAATAATAAATAAGTAATTAACAGCAACCACACAGAACTAAAGGGGGGAAAAATGTATGAAAGGGTATGAAAGTGAAGGATAAATCCATTATTTTAACTGCTCCATTGCTTCATGGCCCTATCATGTATCACCTGTCTTAATGTTAGTGGATCAGTAAATGTTAAGGACACGCCTACATCTGGTGACCTTTGCATGATTTCTATCGGCATTTGCAATCTTCTCTTTTTGCCTCTCTGCTCACAATCTCAGAGCTCAAGAAAAGTCTCCCCCCAAGAAGAAACTGAGCAAAACAGAGTCTTCGTTTTGCTGGTAGCCCATCTCCCAATCTTTGTTCTCTGTTAACAGCCCATCTCGCAGGTGATCTTTTGAACACAGCAAGCTGAGTCCAGCTATTAAGAGTCAGACTTCCAGACTTAACTCTCTAAGCTTTGATTAAATTCTAATACTACTAAATCAAGGGTTACGGATGCCTTGCACCCACAAACTCAGAACAATAATAATAGTAGAAGGGGCTAGGTTTGGGTGTCGTCATGGACAAATAAACAATCAAATAAACAAACCATCAATCAAACTTGTTCTTAAGTTTCCCAATGTTTTGAGAATATAATATCAATAAAATCTATTTTTTTATGTTAAAATGGAGTCCTTCTGAACTCTGCCATTAACTGCACTTCCAGAAAGGACTTTAAATGAGTCTTCCTTTGCAGGCTGATACAGTTAAAATAAACTAAAAAGGGTTTGCAAGGGTTAAAAAATTTCTTTCACCAAACGTGAATCATAATTCCTCCAGATAACAGCATCTCTAATATCAGAGAGCTTCAAAAGCAATTTACGTATAGCCCTGCCAGATTGGATAACTGATTGCCTTCAGACAATATTAGTAAATTCTGGCATGCCGTTGTTTGTTTGGCTTGAATGATGATTGCCTGGGTTAATCAGGACATCGGTTTTACAGATCCCAGGTGCCAAAATAATAAAAGCGGGTGCTCAGCTTCCTGCAGAGAACAACAAACAGCAATTCTTCTGCTAAGGCCTCACCTTAGCAATCTGAACACAGTGCCATGTGAGAGGTGCAAGACTCTTGGCAGAAAATAATCAGTCTGGTCCTCACACCCACTTAATTAAGGAGAAGTAACTGCAATCTGTCTAACTTGCTCCTGAGCACCAGGACCAAAAAATATACAGTGGTACCTCGCAAGACGAATGCCTCGCAAGACAAAAAACTCGCTAGACGAAAGGGTTTTTGGTTTTTTGAGTTGCTTCGCAAGACGATTTTCCCTATGGGCTTGCTTCGCAAGACGGAAACGTCTTGCAAGTTTGTTTCCTTTTTCTTAACACCGTTAATACAGTTGCGACTTGACTTCGAGGAGCAACTCATAGCACGCGGTGTGGTAGCCTTTTTTGAGGTTTTTAAAGACTTTGGTGATTTTTGAAGCTTTTCCAAAACTTTCCCGACACCGTGCTTCGCAAGACGAAAAAAATCGCAAGACGAAAAAACTCGCGGAACGAATTAATTTCATCTTGCGAGGCACCACTGTATATATATTCAGTGCTTCTCATATGCGACAGCACTTGTTTTTGCCTGTTTGTTTCTCATATCTGAAAGTATACATTTTGAAAATTCTATTTTACTTAAAATTATATCCTTCCTTACATGTTATAATTAGTAAAGTAAGAGTGGGCAAAAAATTGAATGTGTAACAGGTAAGGAGTCACTGGCACTGGGGCGGAGGAAGGAAGGGGTGAGGGGTGCGGTCCACCCTGGGTGTCAACACTGAGGGGGGTGACAGAAAGGCACACTGCGGGGGGGGCGGCACTTACCACGGGGCCTGGTCTAAAGCGCGCCCGAGCCGCGCGTCTCTCCTGGGAGTGACACGTTGGCTTGGGCCCCCCGCGCTGCCTGAAACGGCAGCATGGGGCTTGCATCCGCCAGGCGGACTCTGTGGACAGCTCACCACGCCACCCCGTGCGTGAATCGCCATGGCGCCCCGGTGGCGGCTCGCTCCGCCCCGCCCCTGCCACTCTGGGTGCTGGAGCAGCTGGCTATAGCTACGCCCCTGACTGGCACATGCCACACATTTAAAGCACATTTCTCTCCAAGCAAAGAATACTGTAAATTGTAGTTTACCCCTCCCAGAACCCTACGGTTCCCAGGATTCTTTGGGTGTGTGTTCTTGAAATGTTCTTTAAAACGATGGTGTGTGCACAGTACTTGTCTATTCCATATTGCTGTAAGCACAGAGCCTAGGGCTTGCCAATCAGAAGGTTGGCGGTTTGAATCCCCGTGACGGGGTGAGCTTCCGTTGCTCGGTCCCTGCTCCTGCCAACCTAGCATTTCGAAAGCACGTCAAAGGGCAAGTAGATAAATAGGTACCGGTCCGGTGGGAAGGTAAACGGCGTTTCCGTGCACTGCTCTGGTTCGCCAGAAGCGGTTAGTCATGCTGGTCATATGACCCGGAAGCTGTACGCCGGCTCCCTCGGCCAGTAAAGCGAGATGAGCACCGCAACCCCTGAATCAGCCACGACTGGACCTAATGGTCAGGGGTCCCCTTTACCTTTACCTTTATGTGGTATTAGAATATTGCATTACTCCAGTCTTGGGTGTCTCATTTAAACGAAGTGAATTCTATAGGCTAAACGGGGCCCATCTTTTGGACTTTGACAACAAAATCCCACAAGTTGGTTTTCGTGCTGGGCTGCAGGATTGGCTACAGCTTCCGTTCCCCAATGCAGAACTAATTATGCTCAATTAATAAGACTGAAAAATATTATGTGACATAATTGCTTAAGTACGTGTGTGTGAGAGAGTGTGTGTGTGTGCGTGCGTGCGTGCATGAGCAGGAGGGCATCAGTAGATGCAAGTGCCACCCTGAGACACAAAGTGAATACAGAATAACATGGAATTTAATTGTAAATTGATATGTTGGAATTGGGTATAGCAGCCAAAGAAAACATGGCCTTGGAGAAAAAAGTGAAATACAAATGGAAAAAATTGATTAAAATTGGTGATTGCAATTTAACGTTTTCCATTTGGTGATTATTTAAATTGCTGGTTCAAGTAATCTTCACTCTAAATCAATTCATCTTGGGGGGAAATGCAGAGAGAGAGAGAGAGAGCCAAGCAGGAAATAAATATTTCCTAAACTATACTATGTGTCCCTTCTGCTTTGCTTGATAAGCAGTCCGTCACTGCAATCACTTTATATTGAATAGTTCTGGAAATTTGCCACACCGAGCTGGCTACATAAGAGTCACTGCTTTTTTAAAAAAATGTAAAAGAAAATACGCCAAGGAATTATAAAGAGTTTCTTTCATTGGCAATGCAAAGCATCAAAACCAATTTACCTTGATATGTTTCACTCCACAGCTAGCCACTCTGTTGGGTTGATAGGGGTCCCAGGAAATATCAAAGATCTGTCAAAAAATATTCAAAACTGCTACACTAAATTAGAAACCACATGCTTTCATATCAGATATGTCATAAATTCAATAAACATATGCCTGCTTCTCTATAAAGTCCTAACGTTCTGTTCCCAATAACATACGTGAATATAGCTGACTTTCCATATGGATGAAAAATGTTTGTGGAAAGCAAACAGCATCATGAAGACCATGTAAGGCATACAAACCTCTTGGCAAGTGTTTGCCTCAATTTCATTTATGTCTCCATCCCTCAGTGTCAAAAACAATCTACACATGTGACGGCAAGACTGACAATGGCTGGAAAATGCCAGTAAATACACAGTTAGTAACAGCACAACTGAAGGAACTGAACAAGACTTCAGTTAAGTCCCACTGGAGAGGAACAGGGAGATACAATACATGTACCTTATGAGGAATGGTTGAAGGAGTTGGGTATGTTTAGCCTGGTAAAGAGGAGACTAGGAGGGGAGATGATAGCCATCTTCAAGTATCTAAAGGGCTGTCACAAGGAATGTAGTGGACTCTCCTTCTTTGGAGGTTTTTAAGCAGAGGTTGGATGGCCATCTGACAGGGATGCTATAGCTGTGATTCCATCATCATCATCATCATCATCATCATTTATTATTTGTACCCCGCCCATCTGGCTGGGTTTCTCCAGCCACTCTGGGCGACTTCCAACAAAGATTTAGAATACATTAAAATGTCACACATTCAAAACTTCCCTGAACAGGGCTGCCTTCAGATGTCTTCTAAATGTCAGGTAGGTGCTTATCTCTTTGACATCTGGTGGGAGGGCGTTCCACAGGGAGGCGCCACTACTGAGCAGGCCCTCTGCCTGGTTCCCTGTAGCTTTGCTTCTCGCAGTGAGGGAACCGCCAGAAGACCCTCGGCGCTGGACCTCAGCATCCAGGCAGAATGATGGGGGTGGAGACACTCCTTCAGGTATACTGGGCCAAGGCCATTTAGGGCTTTAAACGTCAACACCAACACTTTGAATTTTGCCCTAGTCTTTGCCACTGCAAATGGCAACTTGGAAAGATGGAGGGGGGTACTTGATTAGGGAAATGGCACAGAGGGAAGATAAACATACACACTTCCTGCCTGTGTCCCTTCTTCAGTCAAATTAGCAGGCCCTGTTGTTGCTTTCAAGTAGAGAAAAAATTGTGGGGAGATCCTATCACAAAAGTCCCACTTATGAATTTCCCTGTCTCTATAATATCACAAAATATCATCTTCCCACAATAATTTAATAAACTAAATTATAATATTGTATTTCTGTGAGCATTAGCTTAATGGGGGGGGGAGAAGTTAACAGCTCCATCAATGCAACAAAAAGGGTTACAAGAAATATTTCAGAAATATTACAAAAAACGTTTATGCCAAACGCATTAGCTGATTACCCTGTCTGAGTGGCCAGTAGCTGATGCAAGAAGTTTTCCTTTCCTCCATTCCCAAATGCAGACTGTGTTTTTGGCATCCAGTCCCACTGAAGCTAGACGCTAAAAGAAGAAGAAATGAACGATTTTGTTAAATGAACACCCACTCAGGAGTTAGCTATTCACTGCAGTCATAAGAAGCATCTTTATTTGCATTAACGACTAGCCATAGCAATGAAATAAAACACAATGTACTGAAAGATAGAGGTAAAAAAAGCCTTAACTATACAAAATACATTCTGGAGGTTTACATCAATAACCAAATAACAGATCTTATTCTAATTGCCCCAGCTAAATTTTTCTGCAGTTTTTGCTGTCACCTGCAAATGGTTGAGTGACCTGTTGTGGAAAGTAGTAGAAGGGTAATGACCTCACTCCTCACTCCTCAAATCTTCCTCAATAAGTTTTAAAATACTTTAACATTGGTATCCTGCATGCTGCCATCGCCGGAACTATTCTAATGGTCTTAGAACTGAATTAATGAGTTGGTTGAAACATCCCTGGAGTTAATTTGATTCCTCTATACTCTGTCAGTGGCAGCTGAATGTGTGTACTGATTCCATCAAAAAGTATTGTATTTCCAGCTTCAAAGTGGTTGGCAGATTTTAATGATGATGAAAATTAGCTACTGGAATATTTCAAAAAGTAAAGTTGCTGAGCTTTCTCTTAACAAAGACGCCAAAAAACCCCAACATTTTCGATTGACGTAGGGCAGCCCGACATATATAATGTAAGCTTGAATATTGTTTAGCCTTGTTAAATTACAATTGCTCTTGGTTTGGGAGTACATAACTGCATATTTTATTTCATGCTGGTGTTTATTTTATGAAGACAATTAAAAAATTAAGTATAAAAGGAAAGAATGTTTTTTTCTGGTAAAACATAGGAAGTTGCCTTGAACTGAATCAGACCTTTGATCTTTGACCTTTCTGGCTCTGCATTGTCCATAGCAGGGTTTCCCAAAATTGGGTCTCTAGTTGTTTTTGGGCTACAACTCCCATCATGCCTAGCTAGCAGGACCAGTGGTCAGGGATGATGGGAACTGTAGTCCAAAAACAGCTGGAGACCCAAGATTGGGAAACCCAGGTCTACAGCAGCCTTTCTCAACCTCGGGTCCCCAGATGTTGTTGGAATACAACTCCCATCATCCCTGACCACTGGGCCCTGCTGGCTGGGGATGTTGGGGTTGTAGTCCAGCAACACCTCAGGACGCAAGGTTGAGAAAGGCTGGTCTACAGGGATTGGCAGCAGCTCTCTGGAGATGCAAGCAGAGGCCTTTTGCAGCCCTAATGGCAGATGCTGAGGACTGAACACTGACAAACTGGAACGTGTCCAGAGGAGGTCAACCAAAATGGTCAAAGGCCTGGAAACGATGCCTTATGAGGAACGGCTAAGGGAGCTGGGCATGTTTAGCCTGGAGAAGAGGAGGTTAAGGGGTGATATGATAGCCATGTTCAAATATATAAAAGGATGTCACATAGAGGAGGGAGAAAGGTTGTTTCCTGCTGCTCCAGAGAAGCGGACACGGAGCAATGGATCCAAACTACAAGAAAGAAGATTCCACCTAGGAACATTAGGAAGAACTTCCTGACAGTAAGAGCTGTTCGACAGTGGAATTTGCTGCCAAGGAGTGTGGTGGAGTCTCCTTCTTTGGAGGTCTTTAAGCAGAGGCTTGACAACCATATGTCAGGAGTGCTCTGATGGTGTTTCCTGCTTGGCAGGGGGTTGGACTCGATGGTCCTTGTGGTCTATTCCAACTCTATGATTCTATGATTCTATGAACCTTTTCTATCAATCAGCTATAGCCCCTCCCCAAATTAAGGACTTCATTTCCCTACCCGAATGGACTTTTCTGGGATACTGCTGCACAAAATGTCTATTTGCCCATTCCCACAGGTTGCAGCCATAAGGTGATGATTATGCATGTGTGAAGGATGGCAGAAACACTTGTCTGGTTTAACACGCACCTGAGTTGAAAACCTGCTTACTAATTTGTTACTTGTTGGCACAATAATGGTCCCAAGAAAATATTCTAGAAGAACAGGAAACGTTCAAAGCTATTAATTTCAGTGCAAATGGAGAATCTCCTGTTACACTAAAAAAATCTTTGCTCTGCAAGACAGTGGCCTTTGAAATTTTGAAACCATTTCCTCAAAGCCTTTCTGAGCCTGAAAACCGTTGGTGCCTTTGAAGCTTTTCAAAGCACTGCCAATCACCAGCAATGCAAAATTAATGGGGCTGGTTTAACTGGCTTGGCTCATTAGAAATACGCTCCGATGAAACTGGCATGGATAACCCACTGATAGGCTCCAACTAACGGGCACATCAACATTGGCGAGGCAATGCGACAAAACAATTTGCCGTTACGGAAGAAGATGCTGGAGCCGTTCATTCATACAGGTGAAAAGGTCCTAGGGCTAAACGCAGCAGTGAAGACGGACAACACAAAAAAGACTGCAATCTCTGAGTGAATAACAAAGATTGTGGTCTCCCAGAAAACAGATGAAGGGTGGTGTCTGTGAGCAACATGTCACCTTCAGACAAATCCTCGACACCCATCAAGATTCCCTGCCACCCTATTTTTAAAATGCGGATGTGGATTCTTTTGGTTATAATACTATTTATTAAATACGCCCCATGCCCGTAGATCTCAGGGTGATTCACAGCATAAAATTACAGTGGTCATATGTCTTAGGGCAATGGTTTCCTATTGGTGGTCCCAGAGGGTCTGTGACACCATTCACATCACAAAAGCTGCCATAGAGATATCAAAGTTTTCAAAAGTAGGGGGTCAATGGCTTGGCTTTTGAGAAACAGGGGTTCTGCAGTACCTAGGTAATTGGGAACAACTGCCTTAGGCTTCCTGCTTTTTTTGTTGTTTGTGTTTTGTTTGGTTTTTGAGGTGTGGCGGTTGTGAGCTCTGCCAGTTTTTCTTCTATTAAATGAGTATTTTGTGGTGCTCTCAATTCCTAAGGTGTCCAAATGTGCCCTGGGTCCAATAAGGCTTCAGGTTACAAGGAAGGAGATCCCAAGTAAACATCAGAAAGAATTTTCTGACAGTAGGAGCTGTTTGACAGTGGAATGGTCTTCCTTGGGAGACTGTGGGTTCTCCTTCCTTGGAGGTTTCCAGTCAGAGGTTGGGTGGCCATCTCTCTTGCGTGCTTTAGCTGATATTCCTGCATTGCAGTGGGTTGGACTAGATGACCCTTGGGGTCCCTTCCAATTCTACAATTCTATGACCCCATATATATATTTCCTCCCTACTATCCAGAAATAATATGAAGAAATTGTGACGGATAATTGTAATTGCAAAAAACCTCAACAACTTTCATGTCCAGGTGTTCACTTTTTGAAAGATGGCAACCCTACCACATGCACCTTTCGATGAGGCTATCTTCTCCCTACGCTGCTGAAAAATTCTGAGCTGGGAACCTCCTATAGGCCATTGTAAGCAAATTATTCTCATACATCAATGGAAACAGGGAAATTTTTAATTCTGTCTTGCACTCCTCTTCTTGCACACTAGAACTGGCCTCTGGCAGGGAGTGCACAAGCCCTCAAGCCTTATGGATTGAATTATTTTCTTGCTGGAAAACGAGAAATGAAAACCTGCCACACAGTTCAGCAAACAGAATTATGCCTCACATCTTTCAATAGCCCTTATTTAAACACCACTGAAATATAGCTAACTGTAGCAGCCCAAAAGGTGCATCTAGCTACCTCACCAAAGAGGGTGGGGAATTGTAGTTTGAAGAGGATGCTGAGGTTCTTAACTCCCTAGTTTCTCTCCTCACAGAACTGTCATTCCCAGGAGAGGGAATGACTGTGAAACTAGTTTCCGTATGCAGTGTAGAGATACACTTAGAGGTGGCAATAGCTCTTGTCTCTTAGTATTCCTGGCGAACTTTTCAATGGAAAAGGGAACAACGGCCTGCAATTAATCATAAAGCTTACTGCAGATAACAATTGGGATGATTGAAACCTGCTGGGTGCCTAATGCCTCTCTCATTTCCTTCCTCTGGACAGAGAAGTATATTTTCAAGCAAATAAATCAGATTAGCTTCTAATTTCCTCCTTACTGCCCTGTGCCTGGCACAGATGAGAACAGAACAGCAGAACTGAGAAACCAGCTTGGATTGTTTACAGGTAGTATTAAATTCACTCATGTAAAACAGAATATTTGGTTTATGCCAGCAGTGATACAAAATGATAGCTTTTAAAAAGCGACAAAGGTTTCCTCTTCCTTTTTTTGAGGGGGTCTCTAGACTAGTGTTTTATTGCAGGTATATTCTGCAATAGGTTCCCGACACAATAATCACTTGGCCTGAAAGCAAGATGAGTACCGCCTTTGACTGGACTTAACTGTCCAGGGGTCCTTTACCTCTTTTTTAAAAACCTTTTTTAGTGCATTAGTTGTAGATTTATTCTGCTTTATTAGCTGCTCTGCAATACTACCACTTGTTGCTTTCTGGAGGGACTACAACACAACAAAAGCAGGAGAAAACAAAAAACCCAGAATGCTTGCGGTATGAAAAGTTGTGGGATGTGCACCTATTGGAAATGAAACAGTATGACCAACTCCAAAACATTTCCAGGTGCAAACAGTATTGAAAGTGGGGTTGTGTTTGACTGCCCCAGTATTGTCAAAAGTACAAATCATCATGAATGCACGAGGAAAAGGATGTCTGGAGAGGTCCCGAGAGAAGAAGCATAGAGTTCTCAATGAGAAAAGAAGAAGAGGGCTAAGAAAGCAGGCAAGGGTGGCAGGAAGGGCATTGTATACTTGCTTGTGAAATGCCAACATCAGGTGCTCCTCTATGAAATATTTTAAAAGGCATACAGCTCCCTGCCTACAAATAGCAGAGTGCTAGTGGTGACTTGATGAACTGTTCCTACTTAATCAATTTTTAACCAGCCTCTTTGGCCCCAGCAGAGCTTTCAGGGTAGCTCACAATGCACAAGGAGATACCTTGGTTCTCAAATGCCTTCATACTCAAACAACTTGGAACCCAAACACTGCAAACCCAGAAGTAAGTGTTCCAGTTTGCGAACATATTTCAGAAGCCGAATGTGCTCTGTTTTGAGTGTCATGCTTCCGATTTGAGTGCCACAATTCCATTTTGAGTGTTAAGCTGATGATTTGAGTGTTACGATTCCAATTTGAGTGTTACACTAAGGTCTGTCTGTTTTTGCTATTTATTTTGTGTTTTTGTTTCTGCAGCTCTTTTTTTGTTTTGTTTTTGTGACTGTGGGGAACCCAGTTCAGCTACTGATTGATTGATTGTGTGACTGCAGTACATTATCGCTTTCAATTTATGGATCAATGGTCTCTTTGGTAATAAAATTGATGTTAAATTGCTGTCTTAGGGGGTATTTATAAAAGTCTGGAACGGATTAATCCATTTTGCATTACCTTCTATGGGAAAGCGTGCCTTGGTCTTGGAATGCTTTCGTTTTGGAACGGACGTCCGGAACAGATGAAGTTTGAGAACCAAGGTACCCCTGTATATACACCTGAAGCACTAAAACCTCAGTTACAAAACAATCCAATGAAAACCATGAAAACACAGCAGGGTGGTATATTAAGGTGGCAACAAAGAGAACTGAAAGATGCTGCTAAGCCATCTCCACCTGGTACTCCAAAGGCCTTCTGAAATGACTAGGTCTTAGCCAAATACTGTAGATACATACCTGGCCATCCGAATCAAAAGCCAAGCAGGCAACTCCGTGGGTATGAGCATCCTTCAGGATGGAAACAGTCTGTACGTTGTAGGAGTCCCAGACGCAAATGTAAGGGTCCTTCCCAACTTGCCCTGTAGCAACCAGGGTTTTTTCCGGGTGCAGAGCTAGACTGGGGGAAGGATAGTTAAAAAATAAGGGTTCGGTACCACGTTGTCAGAGAATGCACTCATAGTTATTTTTGTTTACACATTTTCAGTAATGCTCTCAACTGTTATTTTATCAGTGCATGAATCGCTGCCCCCTAACCCATCCATATTCATCCTTTTTGTGAATGTGGGACCTGCAACAAAATATTGCAATGCATCCCAGGTCTCAAACAGTAGTGCTCTTGTTCAAGGTTCCAGGCAGTTGATTCCTGCCCTGCTCCACCTCCAGTTTTTCTTTTGCAATTGGCACTGCAAGGGGTGTCATCCTTTAACCTTCATAAGGTCCCACTGTGTGGTCCAAGGGGCCTCTGAGGCTCTCTCTACACTGCAATGCTAGAAGGAGACCAGCAGAGGAGAAGTCAAAGCACATGCAATTTCAGGAGTAAAAAGCTGTGATTTTTCATTCCTACAACCCTCTCTGATCCAGGAAACTAGGTTTGGCGACAGACGCTTGATGCTGCTTTTGTCTTCCAGATCTAACTACTTCTCCCTTTAGACATATAAGGGCCCTCAAGCCCACACAAAGATAGAGGGAGTTCTTGCCCCACAACTCATAATAGCTACTCTGAAGGGTGATCTTGCTTTGTAAGAGGAAATAACTACACCCTCCTCTATAACTACACCCTACACTTACCAAAGCACATAGCAAGGCAAACTCAACAGGAGGGAAGAACAGTTCTTCTACCATTCTTTTTCTTATCCTGTGCTTTTTTCCCCTGGGGGTACGCAGGGGTACGCATACCCCTAAACATTTTGTGAATCTGAGTTTGGCCTCATTGAGGGACAGTATTCCAATGAGTAGGAAAATGAGAATACCCCTAAACATTTTTTTAAATAGAAAAAAGGACTGTTCTTATCCAAAGTGACTTACAAACAAATAAACACCCACACCCCACACATAGAAACAACAAAACCAGGGGTGGGGGTGGGATTCATTAAGAACATCCCACCCACTTCTAAAAGGCCACAGATATTTGAAGGCCGAAAGCTCTACATTAACGGCGCTGACTATTACTTATTTAAAGTATTTTTACGCCACTCTTCACCAAAAATGGTCCCAGAGCATAGCTGTCAACTTTCCCCTTTTCTTGCAAGAAATCCTATTCGGAATAAGGGAATTTCCCTTAAAAAGGGGAAACGTTGACAGCTATGTTCCAGAGTAGCTTATATAAGATGAGTTACAAGTAAGGCAGTTCCTGTCCTCATATTTACAATCTAAAAGATACAGCACAAGAAGAAAAATGGGATGGGAGGGAAGAGGAAAACAAGCAAACACAGGCACTATTTCTTAAAGTTACGAAGTTCTTATAACAACCAGCTTGAATGGAAATAGTTCAGTGAAAGTAGGAGACAAATGGCAGGTGGGCTCTCAGCTGAGAGAGTGGGGTGACCACATTTCTCCCTCTGTTGCAACCATATAGATTAAGATTTGTGAAAAGTTTTTTTTTTAATTGTATCCACTGAAATAACAGTAACTCCTCAAACTGAACAAACTGAAAGTCCACTAAATAACAAGTTTGCAAAAACAGATCATTAAAAAGGTTGCCTTGATGCACTGAATACAGTACTTGAGAAATCAATCGCAAGGCAACAATTTGGCTAACATGCTTTCACTTTTACTAATGTAATGAAGCACAGTGACTGGGACCATGACTTTTTACCTTCTAAAAAGCATCGATTATATATTTTGTATCCAAGCCAGTATCTGGCATGCTCGTTCTTAATTTGGAATAATTAAAGATGCCAGTCACGCCTTTCAGAAGAGCCTGATTGAATACTATATAGGAGCCATTAGCGAATCCATCTGGCTGAGGGTCTTTGCCAGATGGCAAAACTTGCACCACCTCCGCAATTTCTGTCGCAGTACTCTGTGCATTGCCCAGAATCTCCTATCTTGCTAAAACTCTGCTTCACTGAGAATACACAGTTTTGTTTCTGCTGCTATTTCTGTCGTTCTAACGTATTTTCAAGCTTTGCAGCAAAGTCTGGGGCGGGGGAGGGAAGACCCAGAGCCACCTTTAAATTCAAATAAAATTTGATAAGCTACAAACTTATATCCTATCTTCTCCAAGAGCTGATTCAGTTCGGAGGATGCTATAAACTTTCCCTGATTATGTTCTGTTTAGTTCCTTGTTTTCGTAGGGCTGTTCCAGACAACCTGCTTATTGAGCATTCGTCCTCTTTTTGTTTCTACAACATTTGCACGGACGTCAAGCATTCGTTTCTGTTTGCAGTCAGGTTGTAAAAAATTGCATCGAGCGATGGTCAACTCAGTTCCCAATTCATTTCTCTATCATTTCCCTTACCACAAAAAAGTCTGAGGGTTTTTGTGACAACGGCAGCGCCGCCAGAGAGGCAGAAACGCATCTTGCTCTTGCATTTGAGAGTTGTAGTCTCAACGCACAACTTAGTCCTTGCTTACTTTTTCACATCTCTAGTTGGCGTTTGGTAGTTTGCTTGCGATGCTTATGCATTTTTGAACTTGTCCAAACTATTGTCCAGAACAACACATTGTTAGAATATGTATTTAGAAAGCCAGTGTAGTGTAGCAGTTAGCTGCTGAGTAAGGACTGGAGTTTAGCCATGAAGCTCTTTGGATGACCCTGAAACAGTCACACAGTTGTGAGGATAAAAAAAAAAGGATAAGGGGCTTTTGTAAACCACTCCTAAACAACTTGGGAGGGTGGGTAGAATTTTAAAAATAATAATAAACATTTTTTATTCAGTTTTTTAATATGCCACTTAATATTTGGTATTTCTTACTGATGTACATAGGGACGCAGGTGGCGCTGTGGGTTAAACCACAGAGCCTAGGGCTTGCCAATCAGAAGGTCGGCAGTTCGAATCCCCATGACAGGGTGCGCTCCCGTTGCTCGGTCCCAGCGCCTGCCAACCTAGCAGTTCGAAAGCACCCTCGGGTGCAAGTAGATAAATAGGGACCGCTTACTAGCGGGAAGGTAAACGGCGTTTCCGTGTGTGACTCTGGCTCGCCAGAGTAGCTTTGTCACGCTGGCCACGTGACCCGGAAGTGTCTGCGGACAGCGCTGGCTCCCGGCCTCTAGAGTGAGATGAGCGCAGGGGTACCTTTACCTTTAAGATAACTTTGGAGAATCCTGGGATAAAAAATAAAAAAGCAAGCCAAAAGCACCATCCAGGAATGGCTGCTTACATATTTATAAGTGTTACAGCAATAAATAAATAAAAATATATAAATATATAGTAATGTTGTAAATGCATGCTTTTTTTCTATGCAAAAGACCTTCCCTGTTTCTAGGCTTCAGTGAAAACCACTATTCATCTTCATAGGAACCCAAAAAAATTATTTGTAAAGCTCTGTCAAAGCTGAAAGGCTACATGTTAGGTTCTCTACAATATTTTATACAGTAGACTTGCTTAACGCGGGAGAATAAAGTCTTCACATGCAAAAGGCACCACTTAGGAAGAGAACTGCTGGGATGCCATTTATTTTCCCCTTGCTTTATGTTTGCAACAAAGAGCTCCAAGTGGAAGCATACAGTTACCCTTAGCGCAAACTATATTTCATTCAATAACTACACAGAACAGTAATGACTTCCTCCTAGGAGAGCATAGATCTCTTAAACGTGCATTTTCAATTGCAGAAATGACAACGGAGACCTAGCATGCATGATTTCTTATTTAACGTGTCGTTTTTTAGATTTATTACGATCCACTTAAATGGTTCCTCAAATACCCAACAGGGAACGTCCATTAAAGGGACTATTCAATCAAACTGTCAAAATTATGATCGCCGTGTTCAACTTTGAGCTGTCAGCTAATGGAATGACTGCTATTCAAGGAAGATATGCTGGATCAATTTTCTTCTTCTTAAGATTCTTACCCATCAAGCTACCACAGGTTGGTTCCATAACATTTTTGGAGTTACACTCAAATCATTGCTTACCGATTCACGCTCTGATCCCACCTAACAAAAGCAAACAGTGATGATTCTGATGTGACGGTGAGACCTTTGGAGCATCCATGTGCTCTTGGCCCGCTCAAAATCCATCAGAAAAGTAGTCCTGGGTATTTTCCGAACTGTGCATTGCCCCCCTTTCTCCCCCCCCCTTTCTATCCCCCCAAAACCTCACAATGCCTATGACATCAGCATCTCATGCCGAATGTAACTGACCCTTAGAAAGGACTCTATGAACTGAAAACAGGGATGTTTTCTGTACCTTCATCATCTACGAAAATCTTTCAATGAAAATATTTATATCTATATCTCTTGGATCTACGCAGCCTAGTAAAAAACCTACATATCGGACATTTCTACTACATTCTAACCCTGCACCAGAAAAACGTAGTGTTTTCTTTGATTACTTTATGTAACTTTGTGCTGTGGGAAATGCTACGTGTGTCGTTCTCACATGCCTTACGCTGCCATATACTGGACATGCCAGCAACCACCGCAGAGAATATACAGTGGTACCTCAGGTTAAGTACTTAATTCGTTCCGGAGGTCTGTTCTTAACCTGAAACTGTTCTTAACCTGAAGCACCACTTTAGCTAATGGGGCCTCCTGCTGCCGCTGCGCCGCCGGAGCACGATTTCTGTTCTCATCCTGAAGCAAAGTTCTTAACCCAAGGTACTATTTCTGGGTTAGCGGAGTCTGTAACCTGAAGCGTATGTAACCTGAGGTACCACTGTATTTGCAGGATTCCTGCCTCTCGGAAAAGCACTCCCGCTGCCAAGGGCCCACAACTGGAGGCTGCAATTGGTGGAAGACGACTGCCCCCTGCCCATTGCACGCAAACAAGGCAAGACCACTGTCCGGATCTCCTTTTCTCAATAGACACTCAATCGAATTTCACCTGCCACCTACCTTCCCCAGAATGGGCTTGCATGCCCTGTTATACACCTGCTTGCTACTTTTGCTTGCTAAAACCTCTGCAAGCGTACACCGGATTTCCACGGGAATGATATGTGCTGCTTCACTGCCTTG